GTGTGTTGTAATGATGTACGTAATGTAAGTAATGTATGTTGTAATGATCGATGTACGTAATGTACGTAATGTGTGTTGTAATAATGTACGTAATGTAAGTAATGTATGCTGTAATGATCGATGTACGTAATGTAAGTAATGTATGTTGTAATGATCGATGTACGTAATGTAAGTAATGTATGCTGTAATGATCGATGTACGTAATGTACGTAATGTGTTGTAATAATGTACGTAATGTAAGTAATGTGTGCTGTAATGATCGATGTACGTAATGTTAGTAATTTATGTTGTAATGATCGATGTACGTAATGTACGTAATGTGTGTTGTAATAATGTACGTAATGTAAGTAATGTATGCTGTAATGATCGATGTGCGTAATGTACGTAATGTGTGTTGTAATAATGTACGTAATGTAAGTAAAGTGTGCTGTAATGATCGATGTACGTAATGTTAGTAATTTATGTTGTAATGATCGATGTACGTAATGTACGTAATGTGTGTTGTAATAATGTACGTAATGTAAGTAATGTGTGCTGTAATGATCGATGTACGTAATGTAAGTAATGTATGTTGTAATGATCGATGTACGTAATGTACGTAATGTGTGTTGTAATAATGTACGTAATGTAAGTAATGTATGCTGTAATGATCGATGTACGTAATGTAAGTAATGTATGTTGTAATGATCGATGTACGTAATGTAAGTAATGTATGCTGTAATGATCGATGTACGTAATGTACGTAATGTGTTGTAATAATGTACGTAATGTAAGTAATGTGTGCTGTAATGATCGATGTACGTAATGTTAGTAATTTATGTTGTAATGATCGATGTACGTAATGTACGTAATGTGTGTTGTAATAATGTACGTAATGTAAGTAATGTATGCTGTAATGATCGATGTACGTAATGTACGTAATGTGTGTTGTAATAATGTACGTAATGTAAGTAAAGTGTGCTGTAATGATCGATGTACGTAATGTTAGTAATTTATGTTGTAATGATCGATGTACGTAATGTACGTAATGTGTGTTGTAATAATGTACGTAATGTAAGTAATGTATGCTGTAATGATCGATGTACGTAATGTACGTAATGTATGCTGTAATGATCGATGTACGTAATGTAAGTAATGTATGTTGTAATGATCGATGTACGTAATGTACGTAATGTGTTGTAATAATGTACGTAATGTAAGTAATGTGTGCTGTAATGATCGATGTACGTAATGTACGTAATGTGTGTTGTAATAATGTACGTAATGTAAGTAATGTGTGCTGTAATGATCGATGTACGTAATGTACGTAATGTGTGTTGTAATAATGTACGTAATGTAAGTAAAGTGTGCTGTAATGATCGATGTACGTAATGTACGTAATGTGTGTTGTAATAATGTACGTAATGTAAGTAATGTGTGCTGTAATGATCGATGTACGTAATGTTAGTAATTTATGTTGTAATGATCGATGTACGTAATGTACGTAATGTGTGTTGTAATAATGTACGTAATGTAAGTAATGTATGCTGTAATGATCGATGTACGTAAAGTACGTAATGTGTGTTGTAATAATGTACGTAATGTAAGTAATGTATGCTGTAATGATCGATGTACGTAATGAACGTAATGTGTGTTGTAATAATGTACGTAATGTAAGTAATGTATGCTGTAATGATCGATGTACGTAATGTACGTAATGTGTGTTGTAATAATGTACGTAATGTAAGTAAAGTGTGCTGTAATGATCGATGTACGTAATGTTAGTAATTTATGTTGTAATGATCGATGTACGTAATGTACGTAATGTGTGTTGTAATAATGTACGTAATGTAAGTAATGTATGTTGTAATGATCGATGTACGTAATGTACGTAATGTGTGTTGTAATAATGTACGTAATGTAAGTAATTTATGTTGTAATGATCGATGTACGTAATGTAAGTAATGTATGTTGTAATGATCGATGTACGTAATGTAAGTAATGTGTGTTGTAATAATGTACGTAATGTAAGTAATTTATGTTGTAATGATCGATGTACGTAATGTACGTAATGTGTGTTGTAATAATGTACGTAATGTAAGTAATGTATGTTGTAATGATCGATGTACGTAATGTACGTAATGTGTGTTGTAATAATGTACGTAATGTACGTAATGTATGTTGTAATGATCGATGTACGTAATGTACGTAATGTGTGTTGTAATAATGTACGTAATGTACGTAATGTATGCTGTAATGATCGATGTACGTAATGTACGTAATGTGTGTTGTAATAATGTACGTAATGTAAGTAATGTATGCTGTAATGATCGATGTATGTAATGTAAGTAATGTGTGTTGTAATAATGTACGTAATGTAAGTAATGTGTGCTGTAATGATCGATGTATGTAATGTAAGTAATGTATGCTGTAATATAATGATCGATGTACGTAATGTAAGTAATGTATATTGTAATAATGTATTAATGAAAGTAACGTGTTGTAACCTCGTGAATCGAGGAGTTGGAATCAGTCTACCTGTCTCAACATTCCTGATATGTTCTGTGTAACCAGTGGAATATATTTAGAAGACGAACATTATGTGTTTTCAGATTTGTAGGGTTCATTGGGTATTCAATGCCCGGAAATTTCATTTGATGGCGACGGCGCTACAATTTCCGGGATCGAATACCCAATAAAACCGCAAATCTGAAAACACTTACCTATATCGACATATAAGTCACTGCCTGTTGGTTTGGATCCTGAGGACGAAGTCTGAGGTCGATTTTACTTTTTTCCGGGTCCATAAAAACAGGTAGTGGCCTCATACATAGTATATGATTGTTTTATTATATTATATAAAAAACAAAGGCTGATTCAACATAGCAAATTATGTTAGCTACAATCAATTAGGTGATGCTGCCGTGGGCTCTACACAGTAAGCATTATACATATGGGTTTGGTGATACAATATGACACGTTATATACCTCATATGGCGATACCGATATGGCGATATCTTCTATGTGTTATATATGGCCTCCGTGATGACCCGGGTTAGTATAGGTCTTCAGCAACCCATGATTGTCTTAATGGGCAACTAACCGGATCAACGAGGAATATGCAGAATAACCTACTCGAAACTCAGAATTAAGGGGGGGGGGGGGGGGGGGGGGAGCGGTCGGGTAGCCTAGTGGTTAAAGCGTTCGCTCGTCACGCCGAAGACCTGGGGTCGATTGCCGACATGGGTACAATGTGTGAAGCCCATTTCTGGTGTCCCCCGCCGTGATATTGCTGGGATATTGCTAAAAGCGTAAAACCATACTCACTCACTCACTCACTCACTGAGAATTAAGGATTAGATGTCCCTCGTGAAGACTATGCGGCCACCTCTGCGGCCACCTCTGCCAAAGGCCAGCGCCAATGTGACGATGCGTCACATCTTACAACAGTCCATTCAAGACATTGCATATGTTCTTACTCTGTTTCATTTTTGACGAGTCTACATATTTAGATAAACATAAGTGAAAAAACTATTTCCATTTGCGTAGTTATCCACGTGCTGTCATTGGAGCCGAACGGAGAACTAGAGATACGGCCACTTTGATGTATAGGACTATATTGTCATGCACCTCACTGTCGCAGCTGTAGTAGCATATCAATATTTAATGCTAAAAAATGTAAGGCTCTCCGAAAGGCTTGCATTAGGCCAGTCTGTTCTGATTTCAAAATAATCGCGTATGTTTACAAGCAAAAGTCCGGTCACGTGATATGCAAAGTAGCCCGTGGATTTGGTGTCATGCCACTGGGCCGGAGTATGCCTCGTGAATACATGTTGTGAATCATTCATTCAGTCGGGACAGATAATACGAAATTTCTCGTAGCTCGTTGAATATTTTCAAATTATTTCATTATCTAGAAACTGCACCGAGCATACCCGATTGTAATGAAAGATAAAAGGGCGATAACCCTCTGTGAGAAATATAACTGGATGTGTCTTCGACGTCTGCTGGTTGTCAGGATTTTTGTTTGTTTGTTTGTATGTTGTTTAACGCCGCACTCAGCAATAGTCCAGCTATATGACGGCGGTCTGTAAATAATCGAGTCTGGACCAGACAATGCAGTATTGATGTCATGAGCATCGATCCACGCAATTGGGATACAGCGAGTCTGACCACCCGATCCCGTTAGTTGCCTCTTACGACAAACATAGTCACCTTTTACGGTAAGCATGGGTGGCTGAAGACCTATTCATTATACAGCTATTGCTGCATTCGTTTGTTCACGTGGCGTGTCAGTACACCCAGTCCTGTTCACGTGCTATGTCGGTGATATCATGAGCATCGGTTCACGCAGTTGGAATCGATGACATGCATCAACCAAGTCAGTGAGCCTGACCACCCGATCCCGCTTTCAGGATGTCAGTGAAATTGGTCGCTAGCCACACGGAGCAAGACATGTTAGATAAACGGGCAAACATTATGCCGATAACTACTTTGTACATCGGCTCGCACATAGGGTTCATCCCAACATATGCATCGAAGGACATTTCAACAGAGACCATATAATATCTATTATATGGTCTCAGATTTCAACAACTAATAATGTAACTAATAATGCCACAATAATGTGCGGATACTCACATGGACCCCTAAGAAGATACATGAGGTACCCTCTATCTTGTTGCAGGCCATACTTCAGTGCCGCGGCTTTGTCTGGTCCCAGCCGCCGCTTGCCATGAGGGGTGAACCTAGGGGTGTATCTCGGGGTGTGCCGTGGGGTGGAATACCCTGATCGTTTCAGGGGAGGTAACTCCACACCTTGTGAACCGGGTCTCAGGTTGCCTTCTGGTTCGTTCATATTGTCGCTGCCAGTTTCCCCAAAGGCATGATGGGAATGACGTAACAGCGACTGCGACCCACGTGACTTCGATCTGCTGGGTAGCTGCGAAGCTGGAGTTTGAGTCCGGTATTCGTCCACAAATATGACCTTTCCTGACTGCAAAATAGGCGATAGGTAAACGAAACGCTGTCAAACATTAAGAGAAATTCCACTCCACACTTTCTCACTGTAGAATGCAAAAAGGAAAAGTACATATTTAACTAATGACAAGGTAGTTTGTATAATCAACTTTTGTTCATTGTTAAACGCCGCATATTTAACATCAGAGTTTAAAACGCAACAATGAGTATTATTTCTATACCATGAAGGTATTAAAATAAATCAAACTGTACTTTCATGATTAAAATGAAATACTGAAACAAAGAACAATATCCAACTGAAAAATATCTTGTTGCTGAATTTGATGTAAATAAAACCTGAGCTCTCGTTGACTTTCTGTCTGCTTCATCATCATAAAACAGTCTCTCCGTAAGAAGCCTACTAAGCGATGCCAGCATACGAGTCTTCTCCTGAAACATGTATCTATATGTCAGAAACCTAACAACACAAGCACATACCTATAGTGAGTGAGTGAGTGAGTTGGGTTTAACGCCGCTTTTAACAATATCCAAGGTATATCACGGCGTGTCAGTTTATTTTGGGAATAAATCCCAACGTGATGTAGGTCTCAGACCTTTACACTTTGATGAAACCCACGAGCACGGGTATGGTGCTGACAAACCTAGAAACATAATCAAGGCGATCAGGGATTCGAACCCCGACCAAACACATAGCTGTACCAACGTGCAGTTACGCCCAACGTACCCCTACACCATTAGTTGTTTGTCTGTTGTTTAACGTTACGCTCAACATAAGTCAGGATATATGACGGCGGGACCCGTGAAGATCCGGGCTAGAATAGGTCTTCAGCAACCCATTCTTGCCACAAGAGGCGACTAAGCTTGTCGTAAGAGGCGACTAACGGGAACGGGTGGTCAGGCTCGCTGACTTGGTTGATGCATGTCATCGTATCTCAATTGCGTAGATCAATGCCCATGCTAGAAATCACTGGAGAGTCTGGTCCAGACTCGATTATTTACAGACCGCCGTCAAATAGCTGGAATATTGCTGAGTGCGGCGTTAAGCTCGAACCAGCCAACCAAACAATATGACGGCGGTCTGTAGTGAGTGAGTGAGTATGGTTTTACGCCGCTTTTAGCAATATTCCAGCAACATCACGGCGGGGGACACCAGAAACGGGCTTCACACATTGTACCCATGTCGGGAATCGAACCGGGTCTTCAGCGTGACGAGCGAACACTTCAACCACTAGGCTACCCGATGACGGCGGCCTGTAAAGCCTCGAGCCAGGCGCAGATACACTAGTGATTGATATATTAGCCACGATCCAAGGATACTGGGGTTACATTAGCACCTACACATTGGTATGGTTAAATGGTTAAAGATGTATATGAAGTGCATTGCCGTATCAATTACGGTAAGAACACGTATCTTTATCATGTATATTACGTTAAATGATTAGTTTTCACGACTAATTCATTGTGCGAGCATAACAGGGTATCTGAATTGTCTGGACATTATATAATTAAAATATGTGCAATAGAGATATAAGTAATTGTGTTTAGTAAATATGGATAAAATCATTATTAATATCGTATCGTGTACAGCTCAGAGTATGTCACATACGTGTTCCCGCCTTCCTGTGTCTGAACTTTTGACAGACATTTCGTCACAGGTGCCATCGGAACCGGTCACAAGACTTGATGGTCGCTGATAAACAAAAGAAAAGAAAAATACAGCAAAATATACAACCTACATGATAACTGGCAGTGTAGGAGACAGATACGTAACGGATTGTCACTGGTACTGGCTCATAATAACAAGCCATTAAGACACTATCTGTTTTAGAATGTTTACGAAACGCATTGAACGGAAGGTTGGGGGTTCGATCCCCGGCCGCGTCATACCAAAAAAGTCGTTAAAGATGGTACTTGTTGTTACCCTGCCTATGGATTTATGTATATTGGATGCATTTTTGCACATAACTGAAGTACATATAACGAAACCAGCATGAAAGAGCAAACCTCAATGTCCGGAAGTGTTTGATTCTTTGACTCTGTGCTCTGTGCAGTGTGGCGGCTCAACCGAGAACACACACCATCCTGAAGACAGAACAGACAGATCATTGTCACTATTACCAATACCAACAGTCTGACAGAATGAAAAACAGTTACAAACAGCTGACACAGTAACACTCTACATTAAATACTAGTATTCAATTAGCATACATTGATATGTACGAGTACCTTGTACCATTACCTTAAGGGTTACATGTGTGAGTCTTGTAGTCTTTTATTTTCATTAGTTGCTAGAGAGTTAAACATGCATTTAATCTATGTGGTACCCAGCAAAGCGGTATTGCCCGGTGTAATGAATCATGAGGAGGGGATAGCGTACATCAATACCCTGTCGTTATATATTGACTTTTCTATAATAATATAACAATAGTACGGATACATGGTCTTCCGTATTAACGAGGTCCTGACTAGCGAGGTTCCCCTGTACGATATAATGTCTATGTGACCTGGTGTTGGTCTCTCCCTGCTGTGTTGTCGAGGGCCGTGTGGAATCGTGATGGAGACTCGTCCAACTGGCTGTCTAAATTATCAAAATCCTGAAACAGTTAAAACAAAGCAGTAAAATATATTTTCACTATATATGATTCAGTTGATTCTGAGCACGGCTGCACTGCTGCTTCGTATTGCAGAAGTAAAGCGTTTCGGCATTACCGGTAGATATATGTGTGGCAACAACACGACAGGAACATCAAACATGCGCTTCTCTATGCAGTTTACTTGATTACCCAACAGGGGGCATGTGTGGCCCAGTCGTCTAAGGCGCCGCGATTCGCTGTGCAGAGTTGCGTCCCTTGGGCACGCCAGAAACCTATGATTGTGGGTTCGAATTCCGGTTCGCTCCGGTTATGTTTCTAGGTTTGTCAGCACCATACCCGTGCTCGTGGGTTTCACCGAAGTGGTAAACGTCTGAGACCTGCATCACTTCGGGCTTCCCTCCCACATTAAGCTGACACGCCGTGATATAACTGGAATACTGTTAAAAGCGGCGTTAAACCCAACTCACTCACTCACTGATTACCCATCAAGTCATTCTAACACTGCGAAACATAATACGTTATCAGTTATATCGAACACAGATGAGACAAAACAGCACATTTATAGCAAAATATAATTCATTGTTCAACTAAGCCTAAGAAGAATGACTATTCCATACATTGTAAATAGTCAATGTTGTGTATATGGTTATGGCTAGATTAATAAAGGAGTAAACAGGTGTATTAAGCGCTATGGTAATTACTTTATGCAGAATTTATCTCCTTCAGACATCTATCCCATCTATAAATAGATCCCTTACTATTAGCAGCGATTTGACCACGCCCACCAAACATGCACTCACAAATATCTCAAGCGCTGTCTTCTTGGACTTAGGGTCCTCCCAGAATCCTTCATCGTCTAGCCTCCTCTCGGTGTCCTTCTTATCTTGGTACTGCTCCATGTAGCGGTCAGCCTCCCGTGGGGTCTCCTCCTCGCCAGGTGGCGCTTCAGGGAGCTTCCTCTTCCCCTTGGCCAGATATTTGAAGATACCCGGCAGAGAAAATGGGAGGGTGGCATTCAGCTTATTCTTCTCGTGACTGGGTCGCGTTACCAAGGTTTTTGTGTTACTCCCAGTTGATCGTTCCTGAAAATAAGGCCAGCCAGAATTGTATTAGCATTGATGACGTGTAAGCTTAGTGTGACAGTTTCATATTTCCATCTGTGCCCTCGTGGTCCTGTTAGCTCACCAAACAGAACTGTATCTGTTTGAATGCATGGTTTTGAATCTGGTGATAATATCAACTCCATATAAACTAAACTTCCGGACAAAAAAAAGTATACACTAGCAAATTACAAAAACAAATCACAAACGTTATCAAAACGTCACTAGGCCGAAAACAGTTGCCGAAACACTACAAACCTAATGTCCAAAACACTATGATACCTGTATCAAATACATAACCATTTTTTTTTTTTCAGTTTAGCTACCATCAAACACTGGTGTATACATTCCATTGCCCGGAGGTTTAGACTGAGGTAGAGGTGTGACCAAACTAGGTTATATTATGAGTTGCATGTGTCCATGGCGGTGTGTTTACGAGCCGAGCGGACATTACGGGTCAGAAAAGAATGTGGTTGTTTACGGACACGTAGCTGGTAGGATCCAATACACCTTGCTATTGACGTATGTAACGAACTTATTGCAAGATCACAAGTTACAAAGGATTATTTCGATGGAATATTTGTGAGACTAATAGATCAATCTTGTGAACGCTGTCAGACTGTCAGTGTGGGGGGTCTAGGTGCAAGGTCAGTTGTGACGTGACAAGCAAATGACGTCACATCTAACCTATGATATCATGATATATGTCTCCGTATTCTATGTTACAACACAGCGCCCAACCAATCAGACAGCGAGATTCTTTAACGAGTAACGGTACAACTCCTTACCACCATGGACTGGTGCTCCTTATCTCGTCTCTGTTTTGCCAGGTGCAGGTCCACGTGATCCTGCGTCCAGGAATGGGAAGATTTCTCGCTATCAGTTGACCAATGGTCACTCTCAATTACCTCCTTGACCTACGGATTGAACAATTAATAAATATCTGATTTATGGCACTGCAATCATACAGACCCTTTCCTGTACACACGAGTAGGTTTCTAAAACTTCTGGAACATCCGTATTTGGACTCAACAAAGCATGTTTTTGTGGCAAAGTAGTTGAAAAATCAAAAAGAAGACTCAGTAGCTTGTGTTAATACTGTATGATTCCCCCACGCGTATTGCACTTGAAATATGTTTTGTATATGCGCCAAAACCTGGTCGCAGCAAGTTGATCTTTACAATGAATGTACACCGCCCTTTACATTTCTAGTGCTTTCTCAATCGCTTGCATATTTTCGGAACATGATGGCGGGGGATATGGGAAATAGAGACCCCCGAACGGGATACACATGTTTCTCAGGTTTCTTAGCTTTTTACATCCAAGGGTTGTCCAATTACTTTAACATGAATATCATAATTTGTTACATAATGTAACATGCCACTATACATATTATTTTCTCAGCTCTTAAGGATTACATAATTTGAAAACATATTTAATGGTTACATTCACATCTTTCCGTCATGTGTCGCCGTGGCCGAGAATAACTATTACATGTCTTCAGATCATACGAGGCGGGATCACCCCAGCTGGAGACACATGTTTTCCGACAAAGCATTAAATCATTCACTTCAGTGTAACAACAATCAATAGTTCTAATAATTCAAGACTTAATTAAAATGCAGGTTCAACATGATATAGGCATAAACAAAATAACAACCAACTGTCTATTCGTTAAAAGCAATAGATCGTTTGACCAATAGAGTGGCATCAAAAATGTGTTTTAAGGTAACGATAAGAGCGATATGCCCTTGTGTATTACAATTTGGTACTGTCATTTAATGTTTTGATTCTTTACATCTAAAGTTTCATGTAGCTATATTTAAGCAGTTGACCTTACGTTTTCATTGACCAATATGTGTTTGATACACTCAGGTGGGTTCTTGCTTTCACAGTGTATCACCGAGGAAAGACATTATAGAATCACTTAGCTCTTTTGGAAACATATGTTTATGATGCTATGGAGCACATGGACTTACGATACTATAAGAAACTATACCAAGTCAGGGTCCTACCTCCGTTCCATCTGGCAAAGTCTTCATCTTGGTATACTTCCTGGTTTTCTTTTTCGTCTTCTGTTTAACCCTTTTGCCTCCTTCGTCATCCTGTAATAGTCAAACAATTGTACACCTCTCCACTATTTGTCACAAAGCATATATGTCAATATCTTATGAAATGAAAAGGACTGGGTAAGTATGGTTTTACGCCCGGCGGGGAACACCAGAAATGGGCTTCACACAATTTACCCATGTAGGAAATCGAACCCGGGGCTTCTGCTGGACAATTAGGTAATAACGTGTTGCGCAGTTCTCTACATTATATTTACAAGTATCAATTCGGACTGTTGATCAGTATGTATGTATACTTGAAAATAGTCATACCTCTTCCTCTTCTTGATCACTTGAGCGTGGTATTTCCTGCTGGAAACAATACTTCATTATCAGCAATACTACATACTTCATGTCATGGCTCGTCTTGTGAGTGAGTGAGTTGGGTTTAACGCCGCTTTAAACCGTATTCCAGTCATTACACGGCGTGTCGGCTTAATGTGGGAGGAAAGCCCGAAGTGATGCAGGTCTAAGACGTTTACCACTTCGGTGGAACCCACGAGCACGGGTATGGTGCTGACAAACCTAGAAACATAATCGGGGCGAACCGGGATTCGAACCCACAACCATATGTTTCTGGTGTGCCTAAGGAACGCAACTCTGCACAGCGAATCGCGGCGCCTTAGACGACTGGACCACCCGTGCCCCCCGTCTTATGACAACCTTCTCCAGGAACCTATGCTGGTGGTAAGGGGGGACTTAATAGATCGGGTGGTCAAACACGGTGACTTGGTAGATTGCGAAACCTCCGGGGTCAATTGTCGCCTTTGTTATCAATTACTGGATTGTCTGCTGAAGACCCGATTATTTCCAGACAGTCGTTTTAAATGTATAGCTATTGCGGCGTTAAACAACTATAAACAAAATTATTTTTTCAAATGGAGTCAAAATAATTATAAATATTCTTGAATAAAATTCACTCATACTCGTATTAATTTTACAGTTAGAATGTCTTTGCCGATTTTATTTAAGCTCTCTCGTGATGTTTGACACAGCGTAGCATAAATATATGAGGCCATAATTACTTGGTACCAACCTCATATAGAAGGTTTCCTTCGTCATCGAATACTCGTCTCGTTTTCTTCTCCGGGCTCTTCCTCTCCTCGTCTTCATGCTCTCCATGACCGTCCTCGGGTCTGAACAACGACGTCGTCGACCGTCCACTGTAGCCGGAGTCACTCGAGTCACTGTCGGAGCCGTTAGGCTGAAGTCCCTCTGTAGAGACGCCGAATGTTATTGTACATCTGGCTTCATAATATGTCTGTTTTCACCGAGGTAATATCAATTACATTTGACAAATATCATCGTTAATTTCTTTTAAAAGATTCTCCCCCAATACAATGAAATGATACATGGGTAGTCGTACTTCATATGCATGTTGACCCGGGTAGATCAGCAACCCATGTTAGACGTGAGAAGCGACTAACGTGATCGGGTGGTCAGGCTAGGTTCATGCATGTCGTATCCCAATTACAAAGACCGCCTCCGTGGTCTAGTGGTAGAGCGTCCGCCTGGAGAGCGGAAGGTCCGGGGTTCTATCCCCGGCCGCGTCATACCAAAAGACGTTAAAAGATGGTACTTGTTGTTACCCTGTCTGGCGCTCGGCATTAAGGGGTTAAAACAAGGAATAATCGGCTCGGAGTCAGTATACTGTGTCTGAGTGGGGTATTCATGTTAAACTGCGGCATGGTATCTCAGTGGGCTCAGCCCGGACTAGTACAAGCAGCCACACACACACACGTGCATGAACGTCGCTATATAAGTTAAACCCAATTTCACTTCACCCAATTACAAAGATCAATGTTTATGATGTATATTACTGGACTGTCTGGTTCAGACTTTATTATTTACAGGCTGCCGTCGTATAGCTGGACTGTTGCTCATTCGGCGTTAACAACAAACAAACAAAAATTATACCCATGTATATGACACTGCATGTGTAGCCTATTTAGTACATGACATAGAATACCTTGCATGCGTCTGAGACGTCGCTCTCTCCTTCTTCTCCTCCTCTCCTCCCTCCCCTCCGATCTCCTCTTGATATCCACCACCTCCATCCTCTTTTTCCTCCTCCAGAGGACCAGACAGACCACCACCAGGAGCACGAGACAGAGCAGCACTAGAAGACCTAGAACTAGACCTACAGTTGCTGCTGTAGATAGGCCAGGACTAACTGTTGTATATGTAGATATAGGTGTAGGTGCAGCTGCTGTTGTTGGGGAACTTGAAGATGTGACAGCTACAACGATATATTTGATACAACCATTACTTCACCCCTCACCCTATCCCAAGGATAATCACCCATGTCACATCTTAGGGTATGGGTACACCCCATATTCCTGGGCATCAATCGACCCGTGACGATCTGGGCTAGAATGGGTCTTTAGCAACCCATGCTTGTCGTAAGAGGCGACTATACTTGTCGTATGAGACGACTAACGGGATCGGGTTGTCAGACTCGTTGACTTGGCATGTCATCGTATCTCTATTGCGTGAATCGATGCTCATGATATCACCGACATACCACGTGAACAAATCAACAGGACAGGGTGTACTGACACAAATAAATGCAGCTATCGCTGTATAATGAATGAATGAAAATTCGCTCAAAAAAGCACGGTGAAAAACAATTTCATGATTCATCAGTCTTCACTCGGGTGTATTGTCGTTGTTGTTGTTGCAAACTATTTCTAGATCATATGAGGAATAGGCCGTCTAATCAAATGTCAATAAGTTAGTGTACGTTATAATGGTATATAGTACAATGGTAAACAATCCCCAGCTGTCATGAACGCTTGAGTAACTCAGGACTCTTTCGATTAATTAATATTTCATCTCAATATATGTTACATTGTATGGGTTTAGTACATATATCATGGGTGACATTCACGTGAGATAAGATACACTGTATGCTTACTATTTACCCAGTGCAGTTTTGTATAATAATTTGATAACTTTTTAATGACTTGGGAATAGCATACTCTTAAAAACTTAATAACGTCAATATTTACGATTATTGACATCTTAATATACATGGTTCTAATATAAAAAAAATTCTAAACTAGGGATATAGTAGATACAACTTTCCCTTGGACACTGTGTTTCAATTCGCAGTAAACGTACTACAGTAAAATGACAATGTCTGTATGTACCACGTGTAGACTATTTCGAACAGGTAAGTTAATGGGAGCTTTGATTACCTGGTCTTTCACTAGTTCCTTAACCTCCATTGATCCGATACGACGAAACGTCGTCCATTACGACGGGTTAGTCCTTCACCAGCACAGATAACACAACAAACATACACAGATGCGATTACCCTGCCCCACACCGTTGCTCGGGCAATCTGGTAACACTGTATCTTGGCCAAAAGCAAAGTAATTTCCAATCTTTTTAATGATATTTTGCAAATATCAATAGAAATATGTCCCTTGAAAGTAAAGTCGAATATGCAATAAGAAAGCTGCAGGTTAACGCACGGGTTGAAAGGAACATAAATAGAATGACAAAGACAGGCCTAGTTGCCAGGATAGCCAACAACATGATACATATATTCCACCATTTGTATGCAGCGACGCTTTATGAGTCTATTCGCTATGGTAGAAGGGGGGCTCTACTTTAACTATTGAAAGGAGAACACGTTTACAGTCAATATCACTTCGGTAATTCCTCTTTTCAAGCTGTTGTGAATACTGAACTCAACTGTCAAGAACTACGTTCTGTGCTGTAATTGCCTGGTCCCAGTGATATCTACATGCGTATTGAAATGCGTTGTCAAATGTTGTGATTGAATTCTCAAAACTGATAGTTACAGTGACTATGCGTGGTGAATAATAAATGTGTTTCTCTCGTGTTTAATACACGAGTTTGAGTGTGATATTTCCCAAGTTGTTGTAAACATGTAGGTCACAATCACAGTTGTTGATATTAACTTTTCTGTGTCCAAATTTTTATATTTCATACATAAATAGGGCATGATGGCGTAGTCGTGACTGGTCAGAGTTGTGCCCCTTAGTCGTGCCAGGATGCAATAGCCGTGGGTTCGAATCCCAGATTACCCCTGATTATAATCCTTGGTTGATCCGTACCATGCTTGCGCTCACGGCTTACATCAAAGTGATAAACGTTTTATACCCCATGGTACCCCATGGGTAACACCAGAAAAGTGAGTGAGTGAGTATGTTCTTACGACGCTTTTAGCAATATTCCAGCAATATCACGGCTGGGGACACCAGAAATGGGCTTCACAACACCAGGAAAGGCTTCAAACAATCGAACACAGATCTTTGGCGTGACGAGTGAAGAGTTTAGCCCAACGCCGAAAATATATCACCTAATATATATTCAATGTGTAACGAACGCATAGGTCGGAAATGCTATTAAATTTCAGAAGGGGCTTCGTTTACCAGTCGTTGTTATCAAGCCGTATACACGGGCGTGGGTGGCCCAATAACCTCACTCGCGAAGTTTGTTTGCTGCCGCTGTCACCAATATTCAAGCTATATGAAGGCGGTCTGTAAATAACCGAGTCTGGGCCAGACAATCCAGTGATTGGTGTCGTGAGGATCGATCCACGTAATTGGGATACGATGACATGCATCAACCAAGTCAGCAAGCATGATCACCCGATCCCGTTATTCGCTTCTTACGACAAGCATAGTCGCCTTTACAGCATGCATATGTTGCTGAAGAACTATTCAACCCCAAATCTTCACGGGGACCGCTGACATAGTTCACGGTCATGTCTTAGTAGTAGTTAGTTGAAGTACTAAAGCGGCGTCATATTCCATCACACTCTATCCCTGTCATAAGTGGAAAAGGACCCGACCTGGGAGCGGAAAATCGGGGATTCGATCCGTCATACTTAAAGACGTTAAAAGATGGTATTTGTTGTTACCCCGCCTGGCGCTCAGCATTAAATGCTGAAACAAGGACTAGACGGCTCGGAGTCAGTAGACTGTATCTGAGTGGGGTAGTCATGTTAAACTGCGGCATGGTATATCAGTGGACTAGCACTATAACATCGGCATTAGTCTGGACTAGTACAAGCACACACACACACATACACACACACGCGCACGCGCGCACGCTCGCACGCACGCACGCGCGAGCCCCCACTCAAGCACACACACATACACATGTACACACACACTCGTGGCAATTATCTTGGACGCGACGTTAAACCCAATTTGGTTTCACCCTGTCATGATATGACCCAATGGCGATAAATCAAGGGCTAGCACAACAAAACCGGCTTAAGACCAGACTGGTACAAACAGCGAAAAACACACGTGACGTTAAATCTCAATTCATCTCAAATGTGGTGGTGTATGCGTAAATATCTGGATGATGCTGTAAAATCCCACTTACTCCCCATATCATGAGTGTACTCTCATACCGTAGCCTCACAATCTGGTTGCCACTACCAGCACGCAGGTGTGAACCCTCTGGTAGTGAACAAACAAGAATGCCATCTTGCGTTGTCAGTGTAACATTAGGCAAGACGGAGTTACCTCTCTTATACCACTCACGTCATGTTGTCTTCAGGAAGCGTTGCAATTCAATGAAGTAATGTTCAAATAATGTACTCACGGCATAATTCTGAAACATAAGAAATGTTCAATATTTATTTTTCTCTAAATAAATTATTTGAGTTTATTAAATAACGATGTATGATATGTGTTTAACAAATTAATTACACTCCAGCAACATAAGCATTCCATTCCATTGTGGTTGCATCCGCGAACATAACATCCCTTTTCGCGAACACCTGGTCTCATCACTATTTGATAGTGATTCATAAACACATGTACATGGTATGGTCGGAATCGTACAACGAACTCGTTATTTTTATGAATATGGAAAGCGCTTTATAGCTTATATTTAAACATAAACTAAAATTAAAGGAAACATCGTTAGATTGTGAATAAGTTTTAAAACGTGGCTACAGGAAACTGAATTCAGGTTGATAACGATTGTCTATGCACACCAAAATCATCTTACTGTAAGAAGTCAGTACATTTTGAGAAAACAATTGTCTCTGAAAATATATTTGATTGATAGAAACAAGGGATTCCATTCAAAATAATTTCATACTTTTAAGTTAACACTGTTTCTTTCATGCTGATTGGCTGAATGGGTAGTCACGTGACTAGCTCAGAGGTTCACACAGTTTAACCAGCGCTTTTAAAATCGTTCACACTTCAATGAACCCATCCAAACTGACGTTCAATTCTTAATTGAAAAGGAGCCCCAATGATGTGGGAAATTTAGGGAAATCTAGGCTTGCATCATTTGACGCTTTGGCATTACAGAAGGGGCTGGGCAAAATAATATAAGGGAAATAATATGACACAGGGACTGTGAGGCAGGTTAAACAACAACGTACAGGAACTTTAACGTGCGCTATTGGAGGAGTGGGACCGCATACCCAATGATGTCATTAGGTGGCTTACGTCATCGATGAGGCGACATGTCCTAGGCTTCCCGAGGAGTTCACGCTCAATAATGATGTCATTACCAACGCTCTATGAAAGTGTTCAGATGTTTGTTATCACACTTTCTGTGAAAGGTTACAGTAATGACAACAGGTGTATTTGATGTTAATTCATCACAGGGCTATTAGTGCCATGGAATTGTCGTTTGGCTCGTTGTATAAATAGTGATGAAACTTCAAAATGCATTCAAATAAAATGTGTACATTTCGTCGTTTGCTTTTTATAAGCAGTCCATGTCAATGTATACTTTCTTGTGATCAGTAGTGTATTTGAGACTAGGTACAGTTCGGGACGAAGTACGTGTGATGCCACTTACTGGTTAGGTCTGGTTGAGTGAAGCTAAAGGTAGTTTTCCCCAAAGTAGTAGCTGTATCTGGTCTCTGATTGGCCACACAGTCCCCCGGGTTCTGAGACAGCTGTATAGTGTCGCCCTCCTTCTGTAAAGCCTGTAGGAACAAAACGAGTTTCTCACATACTTAGGGGCGGTCGGGTAGCCTAGTGGTTAAAGCGTTCGCTCGTCACGCCAAAGACCCGTGTTCGATTCCCGACATGCGTACAATGTGTGAAGCCCATTTCTGGTGTCCCCAGCCGTGATATTGCTGGAATATTGCGGCGTAAAACCATACTCACTCGCTCACTCACTCACTCACTTACATACGTATTGTATGTGTCAAGTGCTGAAGAACGTAATGCATGGTAAGTGTAGTCATAACAAATCTATTCAAATCATGTTATCACTTATATGTTATCTTGAGAGAGAGAGTGACAGTGGTTTAACGCCGCTTTCAACAGAATTCCGGTCGTGTCAACTTAATGTGGGAGGAAAGCCCGAAGAGATAATGAAACCCAGGAGCCCCGGCATGATACTGAGAAACCCAGAAATTTCATCAGGGTGAACGGGATTTGAACTCATGACCCCCTGTTTCTGGCACGCTCTGTGACACAACTCTGCACAGCGAATCTTGGCGCCTTTGACGCCTGCTCCTATATCAAGAGATGATTGAACGATCCTCATCATAATGTTATATCTGTTACAGATCAGAAACAAAGTGTAAAATGACTGAATTATTTTGATGTTTATTTCATCGCCCAGTTACTTAAAAGGATAGCATCAAAAGAAAAAGAAAGACAACATATTTTATTTTTTTATAATTTTTATTTATTTATTTATTTATTTATTTATTTATTTATTTTATTAATTTTTTTTTTTTTTTTTTTTTTTGGGGGGGGTCTAATCCTAGCATAGTTAGTCTATTGTGTTTTTGTAAGCCATATTGAACTTCTTAATGATATTTAGTCAGTCCGCCAACTAAATGGACCAAATGTTTTGTCATTTTGTAAAATGACTGAAATATTTAGGCATTTAATAAATTGCCTATTTGAATCACATTTTACAAATTTACTGTAACACCGGATATCAAGAGCAAATAACTTAACCATGGTTATAAGCAGTCCAAGACGTATTTGAGATTAGGTAAAGCTCGGGGTGAAGTACGTGTGATGCCAAATACGGGTTGTTAAATAGTTAAGTGTGGGCGTTTATACATATCAAGGTTAATTCTCCGCCTTCATATAGTTTAGGCCTCGCTGTATGATGGCTCATATTACAAAGAGCTGACGCAAGTGAAAACTATTGTAAATGGTTGAGAAGATATGTTACTACTCACTATACATGTGTATCTGAATGTGTTTGTGTCGTTGACTTCGTTATCGTTGTTGTAGACGTGGAGGAAGGTGATGTTGCCGCTGCGAACCTCGTGCACACAGATCACACTGCCGTTGGCTGGTGGAGACAAAATACATGTGCAACTTGGCTTGTGTTAGCTTGTGCAACAGTTAGTGGATGGTCCTTACCGCCGCATCAGCTGGGAAGCAGATGAGGCACCCTTGGTTCGATAAAGTATGTTATTGATGCCACCCTCCCTGATAATGCTAGAATATTGCTGTGTCTCCGAATATTCCCACATTCACTGCCTACTGTAGCATGACACCATCGTTTTGCCCTTGAATATTGACATAGATACCACATAAGGATGATGGTTTTCCAATCATCTGTTGAGATAAGAGCGGCATGGGTGGTGGCACGGTCATCTACACCGCCGGAATTCGTTGTGCTAAGTTGTATTAAGTAATGTGTCGAAAGCTATATATTACTTAGTATAATTTGCATTACGCACAACCATAAACTAAGTAATATATTCTTGATTCTGAGTAATGTATTCTTGGGAATCGAATGCAAATGTATCCCTAATGAATTCTCATTTTACAACTATACAAGTACAGAGCACTGTATGCGCACAAGGAGCACAGACTGACTTGTGGTATCCAGTGCCCAATCAGGCAGATACAGAAACACGAAGTCATACAACAACTTGCGCAAGCGGGCCTGTAGTTGATAGCAGGCGCAGCGGCCGGCAATATATTGACAGGGACGTGTTGGACCCTCGTGACGATCCAGTGACAGGGACCTGATGGACCCTCGTGACGATCCAGTGCCCTGGATCTGATGGACTCTCGTGACGATCCAGTGCCAGGAACCTGATGGACCCTCGTGATGATCCAGTGCCAGAGACCTGGTGGATCCTCGCGACGATCGAGTGCCAGGCACCTGATGGAATGCCTCATGACGATCCAGTGCCACCAACTGTCTTCACCAACTTATCCGACTAACGGGATAGGGTGTCAGGCTCGGTGACTTGGTTCACTGGCAGAAATAGTTAGTCTACTTACTTACTCAGTGAATTTCACAGTCCAGTCCAGTCAGATAAAACAAATACTTGTCAGGAGATTTTACAAACCAGTATTTACTTATTAGACTGGAATAGGTGACCTGTCGACGACTGGTACAATTTACTAATCAGTTAGTAGAGATTACTATCAATCTTTCGAAGAAACTCATAATTTACTAACTGCAATAGTATATTTGCAAGCTTGAAGTATGTTTTGCTGCACTTTAATAAAAGCTCATTTCTTGGTCATTTTGCGATAATTCCTGTTGACAACTGCTGAAAACAATTTGCAAAAAAACCCAAGTAAATAACATAAACAATACAGGGGAAAGATCGCATATGATGCTTTCCAGTGCCAGTTTAAATTTACTTACACAGTACTACGAAATACTAATTGACAGGTAAATACAATTAAAAATATATTGTTTTATACTGGCAAACTTAACAAACCCCCCTTCTTCATTTGGTACTTGCTAAAAAAAACCATTGCATTAATTAACAACGTTAAAAGGCTAATATCTACCTAACACTCGAACTCATAATTATCTACTTTTTGTCTCAAAATGGCGAGCCTGACACGAACCAAGGCGGAAGTGAGGATTGTCACGTGGTCTTGACGCCGAAAATGAACTAAAACACATATGTGACGTCAATCTCTCCATTCCTTAGAAATAATGGAGCCGCGGCCCTGAGTTACGAGGATGTTCCCTTAATTAAAACACATCCCTACTTTTGCACTTTGATGAAACATTGTCTTGTGGAAAATATTTGAAAAATAAAACAGAACTCTTTGCAGTCTGTATGTATACTGTATGAGTCGCCCTTGTGTGATGCACGAGGAATACGTTCTCGGTAGCTGTTGCACGTGTACCCAGCTCCGTCGCGAGGTGACATTTACTATGCATGGTACACGGCTCTTCATTATTTCGTGGGGCCCTAAAGAAGCATTTTATCAATCGCTTGCACGTTGTAAATACATGCTGACGGGGATTATAGGAAATATAGAGACCGGAACAAGGAGTTATATGTGTACCGGATCTCGCCAAAGATTAATTAAATTGCTTTAAATACGAACTTTGTTATTGTTACCTACTGTAATACAAAATTATATACATATTATTTATTTACCTTTAAGGATTATACGGGGGCCTCGCGTCTATTGTTTTTTTTAGGAATGGAGAGCAATCTTGCAGACAGGATAGGAAATTTGTTGTTTTCGAACCTTCTGGCCGCCATCACATAGCTGGATTATTGCTGAGTGGGCCGTTAAGCAAGAAACAAACAAAACACTTTGCTGGTCAGGACATGCCGTTCCACTCACCACTGAACAAGGGCAGGATAGTGCAGGAGGAGGTGTTGTCCATCTGGATGTATGAGTTGTCCACACAGGCGTCCAAGGAGGCGGGACAAGAGGGGTCCTGGGTGTTGTACACGCCGAGCAGCTCCGTGGGGCACGTCCGAGGCCACGACGAGTGGTTACCTGGTTAACAAGGAATAGGAAAATATAGCCATATATAATTTTCTTGAGTCACCTCTACGGAGAGATTTATAAGGAATATATTTATTTAGATTGGTTATTTCATGTGTTTGTTGGTGGTATATCACGGAATACACATGTAGAATAATAAATAGAAAACTAGCTAGAATATTACGTTTACGACAAGTGTATGTTAATAGGGAACATAAACAGCAAAGCGATAGAAAGTTGACACTTGAAAATTGTATTTGACTGTGCTGAAAACATTCTCCGAAACACTGCAAACTTTAGGTCCACATTGAGACCATGCAGGAAGAACATTACTGATGTTCTCACGGTTCTAATGCTGATAACCTCAATGCACTGCCACATTCAACCCTTCACAATAGCCAGTTATCATTAGTGATGGATGTAGGGCAGCTGCGGCTGCTTTGTCCAATCATCCGTCATCATATCAGATCGTAAATAAAACCGGTACTGGTTTTGGAAAACAAGATGGTGACCGGACGAACACCCCACCGGTTAATGTTTTCGATCTGGAATCCTTATAACCCACAGAGATCATTACCAGACTTTTCTAACGGGACGATCCCTAACCCCGATCAGCAACATACAGACAAGACTCGTTAGACGATGCATGGTTGAGGGGGTACGGTCATCGCAGCTTGGGGTGGGGTTGTTTGTTTGTTGTTTAACGCCACACTCAGCAATAGTCCAGCTGTATGACGGCGAGTTGAATGATGCTCTTTGTTGAAGTCCCATGCTCGACTGTACCTCAAAAGTTGTGAAATGTAGAAACCAAAGGCTGTAGCCGCTGGAATATTGCTCGGCAAATAGGGAATGTTGACTTTAGGGAAGTTGAAATGATCCCTCTTGTCATACGGTTTGTGGTAAGAATTTGTCATTCTGTATGCATAGATCTAAATATATTTTGTTTGCTTGTTTGTTTTTTAACGCCGCACTATATGACTGTGGACTGTAACTATTCGAGTCTGGACCAGACAATGCAATGACTGACATCATGAGCATCGATTCACGCAATTGGGATACGATGATATGCATCAACCAAGTCGGCGAGCCTAACCGCCGGATCCCGTTAAACGCCTCTTTCGACAAGCATAGTCGCCTGTTAGGGCAAGCATGGGTTGCTGAAGACCTACTCTACCCCGAATCTTCACGGGTCGCTTTGGGTGGGGTTGTTACTGACTTGTTTTCAGGAAGACGCTGTACATAGTGGTGAGGTAGGAGGACTCTGGGATGTCACAGATACGGGACACAGGATCCGAACCCACTTCAGACAGCTTGAGAAACTTAACGTCATACGGTTTCGTTCCGGGGCCTGCACAAAAACGTGAAATGTCAATGTTCATATTCGCATATCTATCTTCGACTGGAGTGAACAAGAAAAATGAAAAAGATACAATTCAAGCCAAAAATGAGGCAACTTATGGCGGTCGAAACAGTACGTGTTTCTTCACATTCTCGTTGTTTTCTTTAAAGCCATCACACACTGACACAAACCTCACAGACAGTGTAACATCATTATAGCCATTGACGTATCTGAGTTAGCATTGTCGTTAAAGTGTTCACTCGTCACGACAAAGACCCAGAAAACTGTCACTCAAAGCGATCTAAGTGTTGCGATTGTCTTAAGTCAAGGTGAAAATAGATAAGATTCACCGCTTTGGAAAATGGGTCTCGGGTCATATTCCCCAATGCGTTGACATACAGAAAGATACCGAGTCGCTAAAGGTATTGCCTATTCGCCTAAAATGTTGACATAAATGTTGACTCCATGTCGTTCAATGTGTTGTTAAAAAAATCACTCAATATTACCACATGCCAAATACATGCTTTTTGAGCAAATAATGTTTATCTACATTTGTACTCTTGGAGAATAATTTATGACGTTCGAGGAATTAATGATCATATTATATTACTCTGCGTAAATTACGTTTGAATAATAACCCCTCAAAGTGACTATAGTGGCTTTGACGACACAATTTCAGTTTATGATCATGCATCCAGAATGAAAGGTGAGTTAATACAAGGACATACGACCCCGGAATGAGATACTAGTGTATGTGTAACTCCCACCTGTTTTGGTAGCTTGGACAAAGGTAGCCTTGATGTCGGACACTACAGTCAGGTCCATACACAGGAAGATGTAGCGGAACTCAGCCTCACTTGGCAGCTTGTCACCGAGGACGGAGCTGCAAACACGAACCTTCATCAAGCCGTGTCAACAGACAATTTAACATTGGGACGCCACTCTCATGATGTTGTCGGGAAAAGCGGTTTATCATTATGCTTTTCAGAATTCATTTACTTATACACTCTCAATTATAAATAAAACCATGACCTGGAAAAGTAATTCAATTTTGGTTGCATGTAACATGTGGACGCTGCATTTTGAACCACTTAAAACCAAAGGTAGGCTTAAGATAATCAACATGAATTATTGAAAGATTGCACAGACTTAATTTCACCAAGTGCGATTTTGAGACAAATAAATCTGTTTTCGACGTTCCAATAATGTTTATAAAACCTGCTATCTGAGACGTAGACGATGTTATGCATGAAATAGTACACGCGTACTGATGTTCATCATCATCTTCGCAATAACGTTATTTGTTCTTTGTGTTCCGACAATTGTCCAAATAAACAAAAAATTTCATTAAATATATTTTTGTTAATTGTCCTTACCGGATGACATATTTAGATCCATTATTTGCTAAGCAGTCATATTGTTTGCCAATATCTCCCTCCAGCAGTGGCGCGTCGATAAGACCCAGTCCGTCGATGTGCGACACGTTCACGTTAACAACGGAGTTGTATTTGGACAGCATGTAGGACCCTTGGAAAGTACTCGGAAACTCACAGAGGCTCTGTGTTCCTGGAGGACAGTAACGCTTAGCATGTACTTATGTTAGATTCATACTGGTAGTAAACGTGTTATGTACTTTATAACGAAAAGATGATGCATTTACTCGCTATTATAAGGCTTATGTGAAACCCTGCCGTCCGCCAATCAGGCATCATTAAAAATAAAATGCAGGGCAAAAGAAAGTATACATCCATGTTTGATAGGGGCTAAAAATAAAACAAAAAATGGTTACTCGATTGTGATGTATGTGATATAGATATTATAGTTATGTTTTGGACTTCAAGTTTGCAGTGTTTCGACGACACTTTCAGCAAATCAACGTTTTGATATCCATTTTTTACGTGTATACGTGTCTTTCCGGCAGTTTATATACTAGTAACATATTGGTACACACATTTGGGGCTTACAGTTTCAAAACATTTAAGTGTAGTCACGTATGATACGTGTAAATAAAGTGCCCTCATTATTTCATATGTAAATTGAGACCAGCATAATCTCATCGATATGTTTCTCACAAAACAAAAAGAAATCCGTTTCATTCATGAAAACTTGTCTCAGTTGGATGTTACGTGCATCTCATTACTTAAAAGCAAATGTTTCTTATTTCATTTTCTGTTCATGTGAATTCTGTTATTCCTTAAAATAACTGATCACTCACCTGCAACTTCGAGCAGAATTAGGAGTAAACTCCAACTAAAGTCAATCTTCATAATTAACGTTCAGTTCTCCGCCATTGTAGTCATACACCTGTAGCTATTAAAAGATGACTCCTTTCAGCGAATGTTTAAGTGTCATATACCGTCACCTTGCGACCTCATAGTCATGAAAAAGAAGAACTTCTCGCCTTTATGGTGTCTCACTTACACAGTGAAGGTGGCATAGGCTGTATACAACCAGAGATTGACGCCTCGGCCATCAGAGAAAGCTTTGTCGTGAATGTTAAGCCACGAATGAATACGTCTTTCATGGAGCAATGGCGATAGAAGTAGAGATCTCTGGAGGTAAACAATAAGTCAGTGTGTGACTGTCGCCATTGAGCATTTGTATATGGAGTGTCCGCTTCTCGGTGTTGAGAGTAATCCTGTTGTGATCTGGCATATATGTACACATAAATATCGGTTGCTTCTTCAGAACCTGCGTCGATCTTATATATGTGTGTATTAAAGAATATTGCCTAACGTATGTTGCCGTGATGTTTATCTTGATAAATACATTCAGATTTCATGTTGGGGTTGAATGAATGTTTGAAGCTAATTAAACACATGACAAACGCTGAGTTCAATTTTGATTCAACTGTAAAAGAACTTAGATAATTAAAGCGTACATGTATTATTTTCAAACGGGTGCTATCGTTTATCATCATTATTTCATACTGTGAGGATATAATTTCTGGTGCTGGAAACATGCATGATGGTATATCCTGTGAAAAGGGCATTAATCGGAATTATCACGTTTGTACATGTGATACACCATAATGGTTTCAACCTATCTGATGAATAGAAAAATTCACTTCACAATCGTTTGGACATGGGATAAACTGCTTTCTCCGTTGCTGAGGTGTTGTTGCGTATATCCATAAAGAAATAAAAAGGTTGAAATTGGTTGGTGTTCGTTGGTTGGTTTGTTGTTTAACGCCACACTCAGCAATATTCCAGCTATATGACGGCGGACCAAACAATCCAGCGATCGGCATTATCCACGCAAGTTGGATAACTCCATAGCCAAGCCGTACAATGTTACAATAATGTGGTTGATAATTGTTTAACGGTACATCAGCTATCTTACGGCAACACATGTATCATATGTAGTCGTGTACATATCAGTACAATACAACACCAAACGTCAATAACCGAGGTATATGTAAACATGTGAGGTATAATGTTTATTCATATCCATAAATAAGGAACAAGAAACACGTAAAAAGGGTTTCCTTCATGTGAGTATCCTCTGACATCAGTGTGACAAAAGGTTTTCACCATCGGCGTTATCTGTATCTGTTAATTACATTTACACTGTTGATATTCACTGTCACAAAAACTGTAATAATTAAAGTGGCAAAAGCATGTGTTTGCTCGTGGTAACTTTTATGATGTATTTATATCACTGCTGAAAATATACACCAATGTTTGGTGGTGGCTAAAAAATGAAACAAATGAGAAATGGTTATTCGATGGTGATGTATTTTATATGGGTATCCTCGGCGATATTACATGCATCACATCAATGCGTATCTCACAACAGGTCAGCCTTATAACGCTTATGTAACGTCTGTAATGTTTGGTCAAAACCAATTTTCAAGTGTAAGCATTCTTTTGCCCGGCATTGTATATACCTCCAAGAGTGTATATTTTGTTCTTTTGTGACTTCATGAATTAGGAACAGACTGCTATGATACTAATGATACTATAATGTGCTTTGAGCCAATAAAATTCGAATACAAAGTGAACTCACATACACTTAAAAATACCTTTGTAAGAACAGTAACTATCGATCCAATAATGATGCGCATATTATTTTCTTTCTGCTTTTAATTGTCTATCTATTGACTATCGTATAATTGTATATATTTAGACATGAAACCATCAAGTGCTAGACTTCTTATTCTAGATAATCATGGATTATCGATATGTATTAAAACGATAATAACTAATACATATAAATCATCCCAAGGACGTATTGGAATTGATGCCTTACATTTAATATTCTCCGACATCCTAGACAGTAACATTCTGAACAGTTACAGTAACATTCACAGGAAAGTGTTTATCATGGTATATCATGATGTAAAATCCACTACTTATGGCTGCCATCAGCAGTAGGGGGCTGCTACCAGATCATATTGTCACAGGTGACTTCTCTATTGTTGACAATACCAACCTTCGACAACTTTAAAATCATTATGGGTGCTATCGAATAAATAAACGGAACAATAGTGAAAAGCAACATGTTGAATGTCTTTCAGGGTAGGTTAAATCTGTGCGGGATGTTGTCATTGGAAGAATGCACAAACTGAAGAAGAGGAAACAGAAATGGAACAAACCCATTCTGTCCCACCCAGCTGTCATCCAAAGTCTGGCTATCCTACACGAAAAGTCTCTAGTTGTTCCCACTAACAAGGCCTAAAAAACATAACCATGATATGTATGCATTGCTTCATTAATTATTTTATCAAAGAACTTGGTATAAGTGACATATAAAATAATGCGATAATTATAAGTAAGAAAGAAATCTGCCACAACCTGCATCAGTTCAATCAAACAAACCGTACAATGAGAGATATATTGCTGTGCACCACATGCACCTTCAAATCCCTGTCTCAACGATTAACCATTCCCTTATACAATCAAAGAAGGAGTTTCGTTATATTCACAAAGATTTTGAGACAACTGGAATTAATACCATATGGATTCTCAAAATTTCAGAGGATTTGCTCGACTTTTTACAATCTCAGAAAAGAACCACGTTCAATTCTATGAAAACATTTACTTTTCCAACTTTGCACACCACTATCTGACATGACAAACTTTGGGGAAAACTTCATTCCTTGGGGATTTTCTTACAAAACGTGGTGACCACAGATATAGTTACACATCCTTCTTCAGAGGCTCTGGTCAATTTGTTAAAAGTGAAAGCAAATGTTATCTGAAGTTTACTGAGAAAACTGTATGTGAAATGCTGGACCTCCTCATTGATAACATCCATGTAAAATTGTGGGGTAGGACATTTAGGCAAGAAGGCATCCCCATGGGCACCAATTGTGCCCCCCTTCTTGTTGTTCCTTTTTTTTATGCACATTGGAATTTCTGCTCAAAACAAGGTATTTTGGCCAAGAAGTTAAACTTCAGCTTGAGGGATATCGATGATCTGATTTCGTTCACTAACCATCAAATAGCCAATTCCCGTCAACTGATTTACCCACCTGAACTAGAAATAAAGGAGACCAGATAGACCGCCTCATCTGTTTCATATTTAGATCTATGATTAAAGATTCAGAGTGACAAAACACTCTCCACAAGACTTTCAAATAGTATACTTTCCTTTTGTGTCGAGTAATTTTCCTGCAGCTTCAGTCTTTGGTATCTGCATGTCACAACTTTTGAGGTACAATCGAGCATGCCCTTTCTTCCAAGATTTCAAACAGATTCATACGACTCTTGCTCAGAAGGTGTTTGATCAAGGTTACAACATGCAAGGTGTCAGTAAGGCTTTCAAAAAGTTTTTTGGTAAACATGTGGAGGACATTTCCAAAAGTGGACACACAAAAATGTCCGATGCAATTCCCTATTTGGACTTGTACCGTGGTTTTATTACAGATGAACGATTGACACACGTTCATGATATAGTCGAAATCGGATGATCGACTCTGCTTTTAGCAGAGGTTTACTATGAATACGGAAAGGGTTTTGTCGCTTTTTCACATTGCATGGTTTCATGCTGCTAATTATAATTGTTCAAATTGTTTGAAGTCCTGTTGTTAAGAATCCGGTATATATTCGGTATTTATATAGTATGCTAGGCACTACCTGATGATGCATTAAATAACTGGTATCACCGTTATCTCGTAACTATAACTGACGGCACTGGAGGCCCAGACGTCTAGGACGTCGCAATTAATTGTGCAGAGGTTCTTCCCTTACGCGTACCAGGAACCTATGGACGTGCGCCGAATCTCAGATTACCACCAAACCAAAGCTCGTTCACCAAAGTGATAAAGGATCTCTACCTATTTGAGCTTTCCTTCCACATCAAACTGACAAGGACTGATTAACTAATGTACTATTCATAGCGGCGTTAAACCAAAGTCACTCACTCACTTCATCATACCTGATTTCTTTGTTCGATGCCACGTTTAATCTGCAACGTGTATAACTCTGGTATACCTACTATAATACGTTTTTACAATAAGTAATTGTTTTAATGTTACTTAAGGGACATTTTGGCGACATACCGCATGTGTGTTTTCGTTGTCAAATTGTGCCATATATATATTCCGCTGCAAAACAGCCATGTCCATCTTGAAGCAGGTTGTAGACCCAACAGAACATGTACGTTGCTGACTGATCAAAGATCACAATTGTGAGACTGGCCGATCCTGACAGTCGATATACAAGGGATGTAACTCTGCAAAGCAAACTGTGGCGCCTGAGACAACTGACTCACTCCTGCCCCCTACATATGTCAGAAACATGTTGGTCGCACTGTTTACTCAGGTAAACTACGCGTACAGTGCATAAATAATGTATTCTAGAGGCATGTATATTCGAGAACACGTATTTAAAAAGTCTATTGCCTCATTCTTTCATGCATTCACTTATGATTACTTAATTCATGTGTATGTGTGCTTGTTTAAAGAAAACATTTCGGATTATATTCCAGACACAAAGCGCACATCCTTCCCCTTTTTTGAAGCATAGTAGGGCGGTAGGGTAGCCTAGTGGTTAAAACGTTCATTACGCCGAAGACCAAGGTTCGATTCCCAACATGGGTACAATGTGTGAAGGCAATTTCTGCCGTGACATTGCTGGTATATTGCTAAAAGCAGCTTAAAACCATTCTCACTCAGTCGAAGTATTGTAACATATACGTTCAGTAGAAAGTCATCTGCATTACAGACTGCTGCTTGTTTGTTGCTTCAATGGGCACGTCGTCACTGTCTACGGCTTTTCACAATGATGTCGATGGGCCGACGTATCATGAGCATCGATCCACCAATTGGGATCGATGACATGCATCAACCAAGTCAGCGAGCCTGGCCATCCGATCCCGTTAGTCGCCTTTTACGAAAAGCATAGTCACCTTTTACGGCAAGCATGGGTTGCTGAAGAAATATTCACGGGTCGGTAGATGAGGGAGGTTATGGACTGGAATTAACAAAACAAACGGGGGACAAACATATCCTCAGATATTAATAAATATAATCGTTCGCTGAACATGCTGGATATTCTACAAGTAATTATTTTGGGGTATAAAAAGTATTGTACTCCTCCTACTGTCAGAGTGAGAGTGAGTGAGTGAGTTTGGGTTCTCATGGCGTGTCAGCTTCATGAGGGAGGAAAGCCCGGAGTGATGCAGGACTCAGACGCCTACCAGTTTGGTGAAACCCACGAGCACGGGCATGATGCTGACAAACCTAGAAACATTAAAACCATAAAAACACACTATATGACGGTGGACTGTAAATAATCGAGTCTGGACCAGACAATCCAGTTATTGACATCATAAACATCGATCTACGCAATTGGGATAGGATGACATGCATCAACCAAGTCAGCGAGCCTGACCACCCGATCCCGTTTGCCGCCTCTTACAACAAACATGGCTTGCTGAAGGCCAACTCTAACCCGGATAGATCACGGGTAGATCTAAATATGACACAGATATGGCGGTTTTTCTGGTCTCCTTTATTTACTGGCTATTTGACCATTATTAAATTACACCAGATCACCCGTATACCTGAAGCTTAAGTTAAAAGTCGCGGCCAAATTGTCTTGTTTTGAGTTTGCCAGTCAGAGCTAAACTTTCTTTGTGACGGTTTATAAGCCAGAGAAAATAATTATTCCCTTTGGGTTGAGAATGTAGATCCTCAGGCTGTAAAGGCTCCCTCTCCCTAATATATACCAAAATCGCGAGGCGCGGTTTCTTAATAACATATAACCTTTTCACAAAACAAAAGTGTGAAATATTACCAAACGTATTGCAGTCCATATCTTTAAACACGTGTGTGGAACAGTTTGTACTTTCCAGTTGAAAGATTATATTACCATCTTTTCAACAAGACCAAAAGATCTCAATGCAATATGACCTTCTATGTCGGTTCAAGAGTTGCTTCCACTATGCAATACAAGCATGCCGGACCCTTAATACTAATGCTTTCATTCACACAATAAACCACCAACATTAATTTGAAATAGGGTCGTCAATAGCAGTAAAGCCACCTTACATATCTGCCCGTGAGGCGCTCTTTTGACACACAAGGTCTTCTTCACAAACACCTCGCTTGCATATGTCTCTCTATTGGTGATACACAGTTCACAGTCATACACAACGTTAAACGTGGGGTTAGCACAATGTTATAGGTCGTTGTCGGAGATACATTATGTGACAGAGGGGTGTTGTGACTTTTAACCCAGTAGGGAAGTTTGTCGTAGGTGTGTAGCCTCTTAATTGTTGCTGATCCTGGAGGGCCATTAACATGTTCTTCTGAACATGACAGGATGCTGAAGATGAAGATGCAAACGTGTCTTGTAGTCTTGTGGAGCATTCTCCTCTTTGTTCGGGAATCAGGTAGGTGATGTCAACACTTCTCTTGGCACAGCATGTCTGGTATTTGTTTTTCATGTGTATTTTTCGGTGTGATTTTCTCAGGAGAGGGAGCCTGAGAGTTTATATTCTCAACAAAAACCGAGAAGAATTGTTTTCTCTGGTTTATAAACTGTCACAAAGACATTTAAAGCGTTATATTATCATTTTCTGGACAAAAATATAACTCCAATCTTTAACCCTTTTAGACGAGCATATTGAAATATATATCACACTATCTACACTCAATTTCTTGATAAACAAAGATGCAAATATATCCATCCTAGGAAACATCATATTGCAACCGCAAATAGATTTTGAAGAGACTGTCCTAGGATGTGATGTTTCAATTCACGAATGTTTTCATCAAGACATCTGCATTCCGGACAATATCAAGACCTATTAATGTCCAAAATAATTTTTTTTAAATTTTTCATATCTGAACTCTCTGGACAGATTGACAATATCGCCCTGATAGGATTCCTGGCTTGTCAGCATCATAACGGTGCTCGTTGGCTTCAACAACTGGTAGACGTCTACAGTTTGGGTTTTCCTTCCTCATTAACACACCGTGACATGAGTTAAATACTGCTCAAAATTGTTGAGCCAAACTCACTCACTAATTCATTTTTACTAGTATTTCGAAGCAGCCATGTAACTTGCACATTCCTGGAAATTGACATAGGTGATGCCTCTTTTTACAGATTGTCAGTGTGACTTCCCTATACAAGGTAACTGGTACATGTCCAGAAGTAACGAGAAGCTGAGTTTTCAAGGCTCAAGTGTCCTAGGTTTTACTTTTGAAGGAGGTCCTCTACTTCAGATCGACCTGACAACAACTTACAACTGCATTGCTACCGACGGCAGCAGATATGTTATACAGTAAGCACTACTTTCTTGCTGCATCCTGTTGTTGATATCTATGTTTTGTTTGTTTGTTGTTTAACGCTGCACACAGCAATATTCCAGCTATATGACGGCGGTCTGTAAATAATCGAGTCTGGGCCAGACAATCCAGTGATTGACATCATGAGCATCGATCCACGCAATTGGGATACGATGACATGTATCAACCATGTCAGCGATCCTGACCACACGACCCCGTTAGTCGCCGCTTACGACAAGCATAGTCGCCTTTTACGGCAAGCATGGGTTGCTGAAGACCAATTCTATCCCGGATATTCACGGGTCTGTTGTTGATATCTAATTTACTCCTATGCAGATGGCGACGTTGGCTGCTACACTACAGTCACATCCCCAGTCTAGGGATCTTGTGGAATAAAAAAATGCTTGCTATTATATCGCATTGATTGTTATCAACGTTTAAGGCGCCGCAATTCGCTTTGAAGAGTTGCGTCCCTTGGGAAGCCTGAAATCAGAAGCCTATGATTATTGGTTTGAATTCCAGTTCGCGGCTATTATGTTTCTAGATTTGTCAGCACGATACACGTGTTTGGGTTTTTGAGACCTGCATCACTGCGGGCATTCCTCCCACATTAAGCTGACTCGCCATGATATGCCTGGAATACTGTTCTAAGATGCGTTAAACCAAACTCCTTCACTCACTTACTCTTGTCACCAACCACTAGACAGGACTTAACGTAAGGTGTGACAAAGCTATGACACTGCTGGCAGTGGTATAAAACCTGATTTCCTAACTCACTTCGCGCATATGCTACTTCTTCGTCATCACATCAGCAAACAATTGGTAAAAGATAATGGCCATCCAAGCAAGCACCATCACGTATGTCTTACCATGTTTAAAGTAATGAAATCCAGTCAGTATGAGCGGTTGGTATCTCTGACAGGAGCAGCCAAGGCGTGGCAGAGGCTGGCGGCCTTCAACACGCCTTCACCTGCCTTCACTTCATTTCCGGGGAAACAACTGGAAATATCGCCACATTCGTTCAAGCCACAATCACAGGTAATACTCATGACATCTGTTCAAAGTCTGACATGTTTGCATGCACAGGTAATCTGAAATGAAATACGTATCTATTAACCATGAGCACTATAATCAATACACTGTAGATATCGCTTGATCTCACCCAAGCGATATCGACGTTTTGGATGATAAACAACAAACAAATATGAACTATTCAATGATTTCTTCAAGGCCCGGCGACAGCTCCATTCCTTGTGAAGTACATCACTGCGGCCGCTTTAAGTGCTGATTACCTCACCAACGTGTGTGACCTCGCCACGCCCTACCCTGAACACAGATACCACGTCTTCGTCAGAGAAGGTAGCTGTCGATCATTCCCATTGTTTAAAACGTGTCATGGATATTTACATGATGAATCTGAAGCATGGGTACTTCAAGGAGGATTTTGCTCTGAGGTCTGGTGTCCATTTTTGCCTTGTTCTAGAGTTTGTAATTAATACCTGGATGGAATCAAGACATTGTGTCGGTCTAATTTCGGTTACTATTCATCGTTAAACTGATACCCTTCATAGGTGTTAAACCAGCAGGCACACACGGTCATGTTTTAGGACTTGATTCACATTTCCGAGGACTACAAATTTGCCGGAACCTCCTTCCTTTTAACAGATAACCCGTTAGACAGACAAGTATTCAGAAGGATAAACTCTGTATGGAAAGAAGTATTGGACTTCATCGAAGCTATACATAAAATTTGTACTTTAGATACTTGAAAATATTTCTCAATTTCTAAAAGTGATTTTAATTAGCAATACAAAAAACGCCAACGCCAGAGAATAATAAGTCTCAATTAGCCAAAGAAACAGATTCCATTGGTATTGAAAGGAAAAATAGCGGTTACAATTACAGTAAACTACGGTTATAACGAACTCAAAGGGACCCCTTATCTTAGTTCGTAATAACCGTAGTTCGTTATAAGCGTATATACAACAAATGGGCGGGACCAGAATATACAGTTCGTTATATCCGTCAGTTCGTTATAAGCATACTGTATAAGCATAAGTTTACTGTATGTGAATCGAAACTCAACGGTACGTGGATTGATCCTTTTCGCATTTCCTCCAATAGAAACGTTGTAAGAAAAACAAAATAACACCTTAATATTTCAGTGTTGGTACAATGTAAGGTTTAACAGTAGAGTGCCTCACATTTTCAGTATCTGTACAAGGTCAGGTACTATATAGTTTTCATTTAACGATGGAACACAAACACGCTGCGCTCGTTAACTTGATTCCCATCTACAGCTGTTCTCGGCAGCGTGGGCGTGGCCTGCCCGGGGGAGCTACAGGGTCTCCTGACGGTCACAAGCCCGCCCACTGCATGTCCAGCGTCACTGACCGGCTGCAGTAGCTCCACGTCTTTGCAGAAGGGCGACAGCACCACATGCAGCTGCACCGGTTGCTCCGCACCGTTATACTATGGTAGGTATAGATATATTGTTGTTGAGATACTAGTATATCATAAAAACCTTTGACTGTAAAGGACAGAAATATTGGAAAGTGGACGCCATGGCCAAACGGAAATAGAAAATAAAGTGGCTCCACCACTGAAAACATTGCTCACATAATAAACTATCATTGTGCCAAGGCATAATCTTAAGCTACATGTATATTGCATATATCTACTGGACTTAATTAGGTGTACTTGATTGGTTCTACTTTTCGAGACACTTTCCGCCATTTTGGTGCGCGTTATTTGTCCACGTGAAGTTAACAGTGTTAAAGTGATTTAGCTGGCAGTTTGTTTGTTAAATCAATACATTAGAGGATTGCTTCATGCGAATTAGATTAACGTTTCATTTTTGTCCCAGCAACAAACCCGGTGAGATGTTTGATGAACAGAACAGACACAACCAACAGCAGATCCTACGTCACGCTCATCAACCCGGAATTAACACAGCGCTTTATTTGTATTGTAAGTGCCACGTTATACCAAACCTTTGTGCACATCACTTAAAATTGAAATAGATATAGCAAACCGCTTCATTCACATTGCACATTACGTAATCACTAAACCATACTTGAGAATGAATGACGATTCGCTGATGTAATAAATTCAAATCTAAGACCCCGCTGAAGGGGAAACGGTGGAACATTCGTCTAGGGTGCCACTGCTGGGTTGCATCTCTTATGACAGACAGAAACCTGTGACCGAGGGTTCGAATCCCGGTTTTCCCTATTTATGATTATTTTAACATCTCAGATTAGCGTCATCTCGGGCGTTTTCCAACATCAAGCTCACCGGCTTGAAACGGCTTTAAACAAAACTCACTCACTCACTCCCTCCGCGGTAGTGACAATATAATGTTGAATGAGGACGAATTTGAGAATTAATACATCCGATTCGTATTTTATTTCTATTTCTTTGTGAGGACGTGTATAGTAGATCGCGTGTGTCTGCTATTTTACTCAAGTGTATAAATGAGGTTGTGCTAACGATAGATAGAACTGAAGACTAAATATTGACAGTAGCGGGTGACCTCGCCAAGATGACCACAACCAAGCTGTCTTCCCGATGAACGTCAGTATGTCGCGTGATGTTTTTACGTTGACGATCGAGCGAGATATACAGAACTTCTTTAGAGGAATTCCTCAGTGTCGACAAATAACGTCAAATAGGGACGGTATCACCATACGATTCAGGCTATGAATGATATGTCTGATCACCGACTTCAGCCACAACTGATCATGATACTGCTCTACCTGCCAAAAGAAATCCCTTAGCTCCACACCGTCTTGTAGGCCAACATGCATCGGGAATCCAAACCGCACCGCCTCAAGCTGTACTCCCCGTCTTCAGCAGCTCATCTAGCCTTAGTATGACTCAAACACGCACCCAAAGTATACAAAACGTTTTATTAATACATTTTCAGAATCAATCCGGTCTGGAATTCTTTCCAATTCTAGCTTTTCTGGGTGCAACTTCTATTTCAAATGAATGACATTGACGTAGCAGCCATTTTATGGCTTTTTTAAAAACCAAGGGACGTAACTCCCATGGACTGTTTGGGGCGGATGACGACAAAAGCAACTACTATAGTTCGATGTAAAACATTAAAGTTTGGTGTTTAAGTGGATTGTGTTGTTATGTTTTATATATCCGTTAATATAAGGATTAAACTTGTATTTGTTGACAACAAATACAACTTCAACCCATTAATGGAAATGGTATATGGGTTGGACACATGTAATATCGACATGCATACTTCAGGTTGTGAAGGAATCTACATCTGTGTCGACCGTCAGCTTCTCACAACGACCTCTGCAATGCGACGAGAGTCAATCCTCCACCACTGCAACAGGGGGTGAAGCTTTCACATTTGGAAAAGGTGAAGTATTTGTGTCATGACCTTGAATAACTAGTTTCACAAAGGATATATAACAACATGGTATTTTTTAAACATTATATATTTTTGATTTCACCACTTTATATACATGGGGCTTGGTGGTATTAACATCTGCACTTCGACAGTGTTACGGACTATGACATGTAATAGATACGAGTACCCAGTCAAGTCTATTTTTATATATAATTTCATTTTACATATAAATGTTATATTATCACCGTATTGTTTCCTTTTCAGAAACCTGTCGTAAGTAGACTCACGTCGATCATGACGACCAGGCTTGCAGTCTTGATGGTATCACTGCGCACCATAGATCAGGTGTTATCTCTGTGGCTTTTTTAGACGTAGATTTAACGTATATTTTAAGGGGAGGATTGGTAGAGACGTTTTCATTCATTAAGCACCATATGTCTCAGGTGAGTGATATCTCCATGTGTTCTAAATCCATTTGTCTCAACTCAATATATTAAGAGTATAAGTGTTAATGTTAAACGTACATATGTGATATGTGTTGGCTATTTTCTTCAGGGGGGCACGGGTGGCCCAGTCGTCTAAGGCGCCGCGATTCGCTGTGCAGAGTTGCGTCCCTTGGGCACGCCAGAAACCTATGATTGTGGGTTCGAATCCCGGTTCGCCCCGATTATGTTTCGTGGGTTTCACCGAAGTGGTAAACGTCTGAGACCTGCATCACTTCGGGCTTTCCTCCCACATTAAGCTGACACGCCGTGATATAACTGGAATAATGTTAAAAGCGGCGTTAAACGCAACTCACTCACGCACTCACTTTTTTCTTCAGTAATAATGTAGCACTGTTATAGCATATTGTGTTATGTTGCAGCTCCAGAGCCTAGTGATGGCACACTTAGTGCCACCGCTTTATCCATCATCGGGGCTGTTGTGGCCATTATTATCATCATTATCATCATCACTGCCATCGTCATATTCATCATCTGCAAGAGGAGAAAGAAGAGGGAAGAAGAGAAAAAAAGATTGGAGAGACGAGCTATGAGGAGAGAAGAGAGAAGAAGACGGAGACTTGAGAGACAGGATAGAATACGAAGTATGTGTCTGGTACACGGTGTAGGTTCTCACCGAACCAACACAATGAGATGTTTACTCTGTCTAGAGTCCCAATACAAGGTCTATTGTGTCTATGTTCCCACATGACCAAAAACGTATATGTCGTCACACTCTAGATTCTGATCTCCTATGAAATTCCGTGTTAGAATTGATCTTCAGCAACCCATGCTTACCGTAAAAGGCGACTATGCTTGTCGTAAAAGGCGACTAAGGGGATCGGGTGGTCAGGCTCGCTGACTTGGTTGATAAATGTCATCGTATCCAAATTGCGTAGATAGATGCTTATGATGTCAATCACTTTATTGTGATCGGATCATTTACATACCGACGTCATATAGACAGAATATTGCTGAGTGCGGCGTTAAACAAACAAACAAACAAATAAACAAATCATCTAACCAGCACAAGTACTTTATGTGCATACTGTGTCAATATTCTCACCTAAGGACTACAAATATTCCCTACTCTAGATTCTCACATATTCACAACAATTATCTGTCTACTCTGTCCAGATTCATAATTTTTTTATAATAATCTAAAGAGATAACAGTATTTTGTTCTGTTTCAAAGTATTGACTTGTAAATATATTGTAAAATGTACATTTGTTATAGGCTTATGAGTTTATGGTCTGATAATGTATGAAACTTCTTCGTTGAGTGACGACAAGCCTTCACTGATTGTATTGCCCGAGACACATGTGGTGTTACAGGAGGCCTCCCTGTCAGCGACCTGGACAGCGACTCGGACTCCTGCTACAGCACACAGTCCAACACCACCTTGGAGGAAACAGATGACAAGCCCATCTTCAAGAGGAAGAAAAGACCCTCCACACCCAAGAAATTAGGAAAGAAATTCAGGAAGATCTACGACGAAAAGGGCAACCTTATTCGAGAGGTACATCCCAATTTAACACTGCCCACATGTTGAGTTTAATTTAAGCGCAGACGAAGAAGGGAGGGGGGTAGTGTCACAACTCGGCGTCGCGTCCAAGATTATTGCACTTATATAGCGACGTGCATGCAGGTGTGTGTGTGGGGGGGGGGGGGGGGGGTCTGCTTGTCCTAGTCCGGACTGATGCCGATTTATAGTGCTAGCTCACTGAGATACCATGCCGCAGTTTAACATGAATACCTCACTCAGACACAGTATACTGACTCCGAGCCGACCAGTCCTTGTTTTAGCCCCTTAATGCCGAGCGCCAGACAGGGTAACAACAAGTAACATCTTTTAACGTCTTTTGGTATGACGCGGTCGGGGATCGAACCCCGGACCTTCCGCTCTCCCGGCGGACGCTCTACCACTAGATCACGGAGGCGATCCTTCGTGGCATGAACAACATCATGGTGCGATGACATGCAATTAGGCAGCACCACTTGACAGGATCGCCATTTCTGTTCACTTTAGACGCAACCATGTGGGACCTGATCTGCTCACACTGACAGGGAGAAACATTGGGTCGTCGGGCTTAGGGGTCGATCATTTGATATTCTAAGTGCGAGAGACTTGTAAACAATTTACCTCAGGTTTAATCCCAAAAGATAGTTGTTGACAATGCTGGTTCTCCTTAAAGAAATGAGTGCGTGAGTGAGTATGGTTTTACGCCGCTTTTAGCAATATTCTAGCAATATCACGGCGGGGGACACCAGAAATAGGCTTCACACATTGTACCCATGTCGGGAATCGAACCCGGGTCTTCGGTGTGACGAGCGAACGCTTTAAACACTAGGCTACCCGACCGCCCCCTGAAAGAAATGTGTGAATAACCTATTGTACGGTTCCTTATGATCGGTTACATGATCAGTTCCTTTGAAGTGAAACGTCATCGTTTACAGCTGTACACATGTGGACGCAGGACATTGTGGTAAGGTGTGCTTTCATTGCATCTTTCAGGAAGAGATACCTCCGGACTCAGATGATTCTGGTGACGAAACGGTAAGAAAACCCAGGTATTTGTTTTGGGTGTTTAATGAGATGCGGTTGTGTGTTGACGCCGCACTCAGCCATATTCCAGCTATATGACGGCGGTCAGTAAATAATCGAGTCCGGACCAGATAGGTTAGTGATTGACATCATGAGCGGCCATCTATGTAAATGAGATACGATGACATGCATAAACCATATCAGCAAGCCTGACCAACCGGACAAGGTTGTCGCCTCTTATGACAAGCATGGCTTGCTGAAAACCACTTGTAACTCGGATCTTCACCGGTCGTGTTGAATTTTGTCTCTGTTTGACAAAATGAGATGAACAGTTATATTTGCTACACCTTTAAATAGAAAGAAAGTTTTCTCGTCCACAGTTGACGTTCTATATACATGCCTTTTCCAGATTTACACAGTAACTGAGGACGGCCGACAGGTGAAGAAGAGACGAGCGAAGAAGACGAGGAAGTACATCAAGGAGAGGAAACTTCCAAATGGAAAGAAGGTACACCACCACTACAATAGGGGATGAAAATATTAATAAAAGTTATACTTTTATAAAGCTTTGCAGACCTATAAGTGGTTATATTTGCATGTTTATTATATATGTGTAATTATAATATTATTTTCATGTTAATTCTATTTGTATGCCTCTCTATGGCCAGGTGAAGGAGTTGGTTGAGAGTGACTATTGGTCCACATGCTCTGAGGAGAGCATTGAATCATGGGAGGTCGATCCGGTCAGAGCAGAGATTCATCTCGCGAGGCTTCGTCGGAAGAAGGAGAGGGATGACATGATGGTCGGTATAACTATCGTTCTCGGAGAGTGAATAAGGATAAGTTTTATTCCATACTTGAAGGCCCCAGGCCCATAGTTTATTCCATACTGAAAGGCCTCGGGCCCATAGTACAATTATGTTTTCGTGAGTGGTTACAGATCCGTTTAAGTTGTAGGAAAGACCGAGGTGATTTAGGTCTTGAACGTTTACCACTTTGAAACCACGAACGCAGCTATGTTGCTGACTAACCTGGACATATAATCAGGGCGAATCTGGAATTCAAACCCCCGACGAAAGGTTTCTGAGACGCCAGGAATTGCTAATTACAGCTCCTTAGACGACTGAGACCCGCAATAAGTTTTTATCCTTTGACCAAAAGTCGCTGTTCAACTATATGTATCGCTCTGCTGACTGTCGCTGCAGCTTGAACTGGCACAACCCCGCCAAGGCCCTATGGTCACCAGACTCATGTATGAAAAGAAGACGGGGAGAGATGAACATCGGGGCAGCAAGAAACCTGGCAACTTCAAGAGACTGGCCCGACGCAAGCAGAAGAAGGTGCAGGAGCCTAGGGAAGAGGAGGAGGAGGAGGAGGAGGGTAACGATGTGGACGGCCCGGAGAGGGATCAGTACATGGCGCAGTACATGAAGAAGAAGCGGCTAGATGGCGTGCTAGAGGACGAGGGATTCTGGGACGAGGAGAGGGCGAAACAGACAGCCAGAGAAATATTTGTAAGTTTGTTGTTGTTAGTATAATGTTGTGTGTCTTGTAACAATATTTTTTGTGCCTTTATGAACGCCGTGCATAGCAATATTTCAGTATATCCAGTATAATATTGTAATTCAGTACTATAGCCAATACATGATCGTATATGGTTCAAGCAAGCAAGGGAATCATGTTATGAGCTATGATTCATGCCACTGGGGTACGATGACACGCCAGGTCGCCGAGCCTCACCCCCTGTCCATTTTATAAGTCTCCTCTGAGACCATAGTTTGCTGAAGAGCTATTATAAATCGTAATCCACACGGGAGAAGAATTCTAAGTGATCAAGAGATATACATTTATATGCTTATTGTGATTACTTGATGTCTACAGACAGTTGATTGTATTCATATATAATATATACATTCCCAAATTACAATGTTTGAATGATGACCTCTCCGTGTCTCTTTAAAGGAATTCGAACGACTTGATGCCGAAATAGAAGGCAAAACAGCATACCCGGACATTGAGTTTGTTAGTGAGACTCCCGGCGATGAACAGGTATGTCGACATGTACACACAAACGCATGTACGTTTTGTAAATTAATCGATAAAATCTTCATCCTGTGGTGAAAATTGTATGAATGGAACACTGATGTTCAGTGATGGCCCAAGCATTCTCACAAAAGGGTAAACATGCAGTTTACAACTAAGCATTTAGCGCATATGCCTAAAACAGGGGAATGTTTAACATGTATTCTTGCGATAGTTTCACACATCGATAACACCGTTAACATGTTCTGTGTGTCAACACTATCCACTTGTTACAGCAGTCGTCAGCTATGGAAACATCAACCCAGGAAGTGACTGTTGAAGATGAAACAGAGAAAAAGAATTCCATCAACCGGCTCAAAGACAAGGTCCGGCAGAAGGTACATGTTATGAATGTGATATGTAGCTCATAAAAGTAATACCATTGTACAGGGAGGTTACAGTACTATAAAATGACCTGGAATAGTCATGTCTATTAAGGATTATTCATACACTGTGTCTTTGTTTATCATTAGGGCAAGGATGAAGCATCGGTGAAGTTTAAGGACGACGGGATATCTAAGTCAGAGTACGACGACCAGCACGATGATGACAAGGTAATGTACATGTACAAATGTACTAAGTCCTCAAATAATCATGGACGGCCTCCTTGGTCAGGTGGTAGAGCGTCCGCCCTCAGAGCGGAAGGTCCGGCGTTCGATCCCCGGCCGAGTCATACCAAGAGACGTTAAAGATGGTACTTGTTGTTACCCTGTAAGGGACTAAAACAAGGACTGGTCGGCTCGGAGTCAGTATACTGTGTCTGGGTGGGGTATTCATGTTAAACTTCTGCATGGTAACTCAGTGTGCTGGCTCTATAACTCTGCATCAGTCCGGACTAGTACAAGCAGCCGCTCACGCACACACGTGCATGCACGTCGCTATTTAAGTGCCATAATCTTGGACGCGACGTTAAACCCCATTTCACCTCACCTCTACTCGATGCTGTTATATATTGTGATCCACTCATATAATTTTCACACATTTTCTCATATGAAATATGCTTCCATTTCAATAGTTATGCTTTTGCCCTCTTGTGAGAAACTGTTTCCAGTTGTTTTTTGCGTTTCTAGTATTCACCCTTGCATATCTGTTCCTACCTGTATATCCTTTTTTCCCGTTTTATCCAGACCAGGAAGCAGGTTACAGCCCGGGTGAGTCAACTCCTCACTCAGAGGCTGCTCGGGGAGGATCATACACAAGACAAGAAATCAGCCCTGAAACTGAGCGAGTCTAGAAAGGTAATACCCACATTCTACAAACACTTTACAGAGAGCGTCATACGACTCTTGCTCAAAAGTTGTTTGATCCGGGCTACAACATTCAAATGGGAATCATTGATTTCATTATTGTGACTTGCACCACATGTTACCCGTCTTTTAGGTGAACAATTGACTTGCCTTTGCATGTGTTTGTGACGAGTGACCTTTACGGCATGAGGGGATGGTGAACATGTGCAAATGCATGTGTTGTATATGCCTGTTATTAGTGTGTTATAAGAATAAGTAGGTAAATCAATGGTCATATAATGTTAGGTATGCTGACGAGGCTTACGTTATCATATGATTGACCACGGGTAAAATGCTTAAGCAAAATTCTATTGATTCAGTAAATTGTTTTTTGGAAGTTTCACGGCACAAGGATTACATTGGAACCATGTACATTTAAATTATGTCCGTATGTTGTATATCGGAGGTTGAATCAACGCAGTTTACATCTGTCGTCTGGAGAGTGCTGGAACTGAGTGGTTTCTTTGTCGTGATTTCTTGCAGAAGGGTCGGGTCATTTTTGTTGAGGAAATGAAACAAAGGCAAGCCCCGGGAACTCAACCAAACAGACCGGGAGCATTAGCACCAATCAAGAAGGTTGTAGGTAAAGGGTCACTTCCGGGTCAGAGACGACCAATCACAATGGACCCCGAGCAAGCAGCGATTTACAGAGAAGGACTAGCTAAGGATAAACACATTGTGGATGCATTGACAGGTATGGTGCTTTGATTTGTCAGCGTTCCCTGACGTTATGTGAAATTCCTTAGTTACATTTAAAAGATGGATGGTGTAGACCAGTGTTAAAAACGTACCCTCAATACAACGACAATCTGGGTTAGATTTCCCCCATCGGTGTCATGGTGAAGCTGCTACAGTGTCTCCATGGCTGAAACACTGCTGACAGCCTGGAGTGGGGGCTTATTCGTTTAGCTCAGGTCATTTGGGAAACTGCAGAAAAATAGTAATCGCATGTTGTCTTGCTTATTTCAACCAAAAAACCTTTCTTCTTCTACATTGCAGCTGAAGATTCAAGGGAACTAGAGAGTGACAATGAGGTAGGTCAGAAACATTTTCCAGATTTCATGAAAACAAAATTACTAATAATTATGTAGTTTTTTTATTTAAATTTGAGCATTTTAACTTTTGTGGGTCTATTTCTTTTCCCATAATTTGTGAGAATATTGTTGATGTGTGCTGGTATTTTTATCATGAAGTAATATCATAATGTTTATCACCTATATTGCCTCGACAAATGTCTTCCCTTGTATATAGGCTGGTACTGTCAACAACGCGAATCCCTTTATAACCAGACATATTGAGCAATAATGAAAAGTTAGGGGCTCGACTTCATCAGCGAGTTTTTGTTCATAAGTGACCTGAGTATTGATTGTTTTATATCATATTATACATCGATTTGACCGAACTTTATTTCTGGTATGACATGATAAACTTAAAAAATGCGATCTTTCTCGGTTCCCATTTGTTAAAAGTCAGATGATGGACACATCGGGTCGGTGTTCAACAGCAATCTGCGCCAATGAACAATCATCAATATTACACACGTTTGGAAACAGCAGTATTAAATGCAGACAGCAACAGAATTATTGACCAAAAGAGGCTCTGACATTTTATTCTACATTTTCCAATTCGCCTAGGATGGAGATAGTGACCTTGACGAAGGTCATTCCCGATTATCACCACTGAATCGTAGGAAAGGCCGTGGTCAACAGATTGGTCATTTTCCAAGAGTCCAGGGTATTTATCAACTTAACAGAGCCGCATACAGAGGTGTTGAAAATGTTTGGCGAAATACGATGTAGGATGTTTTTAATTTTCACCATGTATGATAAGATATGCAAGTGTTGTGTAACTAGAAAAGCATTGTCTCTGCTTATAAGAGCGTTATTTAGTTACGTGGATAACAGTACCAAACGTACAATTAACAAAGCAATGATTGTCATGCCATTGCTTGGTTTTGAAAATAAATTACACTTATAATTGAGTATCAAGGCTTTAGAAATACTTTAGATATGTTGTGCTTGCAAATGTTCGTGTTTATTTCCACAGGCCACGCCCGCGAAGCCTGGGGTCATGGTGGCTCGGTATGTCGTTTACGTTCATATTGTATGATAAACAAAGCACCATGGATAGAGATATACACGCTCAGAAACAACAATGATTATGTCTTCTTCGACTGCCTATTTATCAGTTAAATGACAATTTGTGTCCTTTTTTGGCCCTCTGAAAATGTTTAATTTTGAATCTGCGGGAAACCTATTGGTACGAAACGTATCAGACATGTTCGAAAGGCTGACGGCTGGTATTTCTTTTTCTTTCTTACACGTGCAAGTTTTGGACTTATGGAATAAAACGTTACATAAATACAATTAAAATGGGTGAACATTTTTCGAAAATATTTTTTAAAATAATACTTGCTCCTCAAGTTCAAGTACCAGAAGAAATATTCCTGAAAAACTCTTGAATATGATTGTTGGGCACATGTTATAATTAGTCTTAACTGATATTCTCCCAAAACATGCACGTGTTTGAAGCCTAAATCTCATTCATATATGAATACAACTGATAACGTTCATAACACTTCCTAAGGTTTAAATTTCCATATTTCTTAAATATGCAGATCTAGTAGGCCAAAAAGGGTCCTTCTGATACCTTCACTTATGTTTTTTCACTGGGTCACCACATAATTGATACTAAAAAGACATGATGCACAGAAAAACCGACGATTTTCGTAACGCAACTGTAACGGTAATATTTGCTGTATACCATGCTGCAGTCAGTATTCCTCGCCCTCATTACAGAGTACGACGGCTGATAATAACGGCAAACCAACGGTACCGTACACAGTGTCCGCACCAAAGTTTCACTCTTACCTAAACTTCCTTCGTGGACACGGCTCCGCGGACCGACCAGGGCACCTGACCGACAGAGACGCCAGCTACTGTAGGGGCATACGGGCGCCCAAGGGGATGACAATGGACGACGCCAGACTACGCCGCCTGCTGGAGGAGCTGTACAGGGACAAGAAGTACATGGACACCATCATAGATGCAGAAGGTAACACCTTTAGGTTCCTTATCCAGTCGAGTTTTCACGCATTGCCCTTGAGTTCGTTTGCTTGTGTGTTGTTTAACGCCGTGTGTTGTTTGACGCCACCCCAGCAATAAATCAATCCACTGATTGACAGTATGAGCATCGATCTACACAAATGGGATACGATGACACGCAGTGAACCTGACCACCCAATCCCGTTGGTCGCCTCTTACGACAAGCATAGGTTGCTGTAGACCCGGATCTTCACCGGGTAATTGTCATTGTAAATAACATTGTCAGTCTATAGCATTCCGGGAACTATTCCAAGCGTGTCGCCCTATGGGAGCCAGGTTAGAAAAGGTATTTTTCTGCTTATCGTAAGGTCCAACTAAATTGACTCGGGATGTCATACTTGGTGACTTGGTTGATTTCTGTCCTCGAACACAGACGGTGTCGCATGATTGTCAAATATGCACCATTGATTGGACTGGCCAAAACTAAGATTTAAATCCGACTGTGAGATTGATGAAACTGCCTTTGTGAAGCCACATTTGGCAGTATATACGCTCGTTCCAATTAAGGTGAGGTGAGGTGAAATGGGGTTTAACGTCGCGTCCAAGATTATTGCACTTCTATAGCGACGTGCATGTACGTGTGTGTGTTTGTGTCGCTGCTTGTACTAGTCCGGACTGATGCAGATTTATAGTGCTAGCTCACTGAGATACCATGCCGCAGTTTAACATGAATATCCCACTCAGACACAGTATACTGACTCCGAGCCGACCAGTCCTTGTTTTAGCCCCTTAATGCCGAGCGCCAGACAGGGTAACAACAAGTACCATCTTTTAACGTCTTTTGGCTTGACGCGGCCGGGGATCGAACCCCGGACCTTCCGCTCTCCGGGCGGACGCTCTACCACAAGACCACGGAGGCGGTCCGTTCCAATTAAGTCTGAATCCAACATTTACAGGCCGCCGCGATATAATTGGAATATTGCTCACTTCGGCATGAAACAACATTGCTGTTGATCTAAAATGAAATATATCAACATTCATTTTCAGAATCTAACGATGAAGAGAAAGTGAAGCATCTGGCCGCACAAGGGCGGGACTACCTGCTGCAGATGGCGCTGTTCTGGGAGGAAAAAGGTCCACTCCCTCCTCGCCCGTCCGTCACTTCTCTTGGGTTTAAACTCGAACGATCCAAATCGGCTTTCATTAAGGACGAAACGGAGACACAAAGACCTACAATTGCAAGGCATAAAACAGTATGCTGATATTGAAACTCCCACTTGGATGTACCCGTGACAGTTGTGAATCATTGATTAAGTGTTGGTGGATCAGCATGCTGCATGAGTGTTCGCAAGACTGTGTGAAAATATATATGACTGTATATATGTACAAAGGTACTATACGTATGTACTGTGATTAACCTCCATATTGGATAGAGACATATACAAACATATATTCCTGCATCTTTTCTCGGTTGTTCATTTTGTCTTTGAAATAAATTAGTAACACTTGTGTCGTCAAGAATGGACGATCTAAACCCCTCCAGTATTGGTTTATGAAAGTGTGACAGTTATTATTGAACCCAACTTATTATTATATGTAATTGAATCACAAATGTAGATGTAGCTTTGATAACCAAATACAAGTTAAGGTTTGTTTCTAAGTGTTTAAAGATTATTGTATCATGTGTTGAAGCCTAGTAGTTATTGTGGACGTCTGTAGCCATTGTACCTACTCTGAGTATAACAGACCGGATTAGAACTCGATCCCCGGGGTAAAACGTCGATCCCCGGGATAGGCACTCTATCCCAAGGGTAAGCACACGAACCTAGAGGTAAGAACGCGATCCCCGGAGTTCGGGGCGTGATGTAACAGTGAATGAGTGAGTGAGTCGGGTTTAACGCCGCTTTTAACATTATTCCAATTATATCACGGCGTGTCAGTTTAATGTGGGAGGAAAGCCCGAAGTGATGCAGGTATCAGACGTTCACCACTTCGGTGAAACCCACGAGCACGGGTATGGTGCTGACAAACCTAGAAACATAATCGGGGTGAACCGGGATTCGAACCCACAATCATAGGTTTCTGGCGTGCCCAAGGGACGCAACTCTGCACAGCGAATCGCGGCGCCTTAGACGACTGGGCCACCCGTGCCTCCGCGCGTGATGTTACAATGTGCGACACATGGTGGCGCTCAATAAGTTGATCGTAGAGCAACGACTGTCATAATAATAACTCCCATTCTTTCACAACTGTCAGATTAATCGTAACATTGAAGGACGTTGTCGAGCGATACCCAAAGGCTGGAGGACCAAAACTAACATGTGACCTATAAACGTCACAACGGAATCCTTTTTCTTCACACGACACCAGTGTTGTAACAACCAGTTAGCACTTTTGTATGGAAAAGTTCGCGAGACTTAACAATAGCACGAGAGGCCTCGTTCTGGGATGTTGCTTGGAGCGTTCATTTGTTACCTTTAAGAAGTACGCTCCACTGTCTGATCACATTTCCAGTCCAGATGTGAATCGCCCTATATAGTGTGAACTCGGACATTGTGTATGTGTAACCAGGGAAGTAAGTAATTGTTATATTGGTTAGGATAACAAAACGTGACTTAGCGGATACAAATAATGGCATAAGAAAACTGAATCAAACTTGCAAGGACAATCAAATGCCCGAGCAAACTCCGCCTTTAAGATCACTATGCTGCAATCGACCAATCAAGCACGCAAGCAAGCAACGAAGCAGGCAAGCAGTCCAGATATAACAAAGAAGTATATTAGGACATATTACTAAACATGAAGCTGGGATTTCTTTCTGAAAATAATACTCTGTTTCCGAAAACGACGGATAAATAATATGTCCTCCCGTTTCTGTAGCGGATATATAAATAGATCACTGGACATGCTGGCTGTTTTGAATCAGGTGTGTGGGTTTGCATTGTGGGCTCCTCACAGAAATGTATGTTTGGTAGCGCTGACAGAAAACATAATAAACCCCTGGTCGGTCCTAACAACTGTAACCATTACAAACGAATACATGGTGGTTGTAGCATGATGGTGGCGTTTGTAAATTGTAAAATATAAACCGTCAGATACAATAAAGTATACACTTGAAAACTGGATTTGACCAGAACATTGCAAACGTTATGAAAACAGTCGCCGAAACACTGCAAACGGTCCCAAACACAACTATCAAATACATCCCCATAGAATAAACATTTCTTATTTGTTTCAACTTTAGCCACCATCAAACATGGGTATATATGTCTTTTGCTGGGCAGTTAATACAATGCATGCACATGAAGCATGAAAACAAACTGTGAATGTGCGATTCTATATAAAACAAAAACGATGATTCACTTGTACATTGTGAGAAGGAACTGCGAAATCTACACTATATACATCGCTCGACGGCAGGTCGACCGCATCACTTCGTCCTTTGACATCGTTCACCAGGATAACATGTAGTGAACATTCCATTATACTCGCCTTCGTGATAAACGTGACGACATAACTATATTTTTTTATAGGGATTATAGTTGGAGACGCTGTGGATCACCGTGTTGACGTGGAGTACCTACAGTATCATTGTCATTCTTTGACGCCATAGATGTGCGCAACGTGCACCACTGAAAGGAGGATTGAATGATTAACATAGAAACTATCCTCGGCTGCGGGTTACATTCTTGTGTTAACATGTTGTTGAATGTTAATTAGTCCCTGCCCCGCAGTGTTAGGTGAGGTGAAGTTGGGTTTAACGTCGCGTCCAAGATTATTGCACTTATATAGCGACGTGCATGTACGTGTGTGTTTGTGTGGCCCCGGACCTTCCGCTCTCCGGGCGGACGCTCTACCACTAGACCACGGAGGCGGTCGCAGTGTTAGGGAAATATAATAACGTTCTGTCCGCCCGTCATTCTATCTACCCTATCAAAAAGCGTTAGTGGGATAAAGGAGGACAAAGAAATACTAATCAAAAGAAGTTAACGATTCTTTCACTTTATTAGTGTTAATATGACACGGAATGACAGATTAACTATAGTAAAATGAACAAATCGGGTGTTCTTTAACTTCATTTGAGTATTATACATTGTCTTGAAACTTTACAGTGTTTCGTATTTCATCAACGCCATCATACATCTTCAGTAGCGACAGTGTAGCCGAGTGGTTAAAGCGTTATCTCGTTACGCCGAAGACACGTTCGATTCCTTAAATGGATGAATTGATCCAGTTCTGACGTCCGGTGCTATGACATTGCTTGATTATTCTTAGAGCATCATTAATCCATACTCACTCACCCATTTCTCTTGCTGTGGGGAGGGATGAGTATTGATTGATAATGAAAGTCTCGTTTGAAGAGGTCAGTGTGTGAGTGTGAACCATTTATATTCTCTTCTAGGTTCTCCTGAGTAAAGTATTTTAGGTGTAGTATGAATTATCTGTGTTAGATGTATACTTCCTGATGCTGTCATCGTGTTTCAACATGTGTACACCTCACGAACAATTATACCTTCGACCCATCGGTTACCATTGTTTGGTTTGGGTAATGACATTCTCCTTCTCTCTTAACAGTGACTTCTTACAGGATGTGTCCCGCACGTTAGTGTTGTTGGATGAGACGGCTAGTTTAGGGTCAATAGAAAGTTATAGTAGCGTATGGGCCCAAGGTGGTATGTAAATAGAATGGAGATATAATATTCTGCATAGTCGATGAATCGTGAGATCAATATACCACAACAAAGCGATAAATGAATGAGGCTGTTCGGTTTCTTTGTCAGATGGAAGGTGCTGGAGGCGAATCCGTTTAGTTTATCGTTTAAAATGAGAAATAAATAATGAAAAATTCACTTGAAAAGTTTCTGCAATGCTTTTCCATGATATTGGGAGATATTTTCGCTAAAATGTAGACTGCTGGCAATACAAAGTATACACTTAAAAATACAAACGTTATCAAACCGTTACGAACTACTCTGAGGGGCATTTAGAAGTTGGGAGTACTATGTGAGGATAAGATATATGGATGATCAAGGCACCACTTGTTTGATTACAGTGTTAGAATCAACACAGAAACGTCGTTCCTAATTGTAATAAAGAAGTTGTTCTATGATATATATTGTCCTTACTTAAACCGTTACCCGTCTGAAAACAGTCGCCGAAACAACTTTAGATACATAACACAGTTATGACACCTGAATCAAATACATCACCATCGAATAACCATTTCTTTCGTTTTTCAATTTAAACCATAATCAAACCTGGATGTGTACGTTCTTTTGCCAGGCAGTTTACATTGCAAATATTCAATATTTTAGTTATTAGGGGACTAGGGGTAACCAGATTCGGTATTTGACAGTGTGAACCACCATACGCTTCACTCAGCTTGTTATTGTATTCCCATTCATTTGAATGCATGACTGTCATATGATTTGATTAATCCACTGATTGTTAAATTCAAAATGTCACCGCGAGAGAATTATCACTTTCGATTATCCGCCAAAATAGACTCCGATGGGCATAAAAGGCAAAACAGTGATGAACGTTACACGAATGGATCACTGAATCTCGGTGATGACATCACGTGTTCGCGTTGTATTTCCAAAATTTATCCACCAGAATGGGAACCTGTTTGGTTCTTACTTTTTATCACCTCATGTACACGTATAGATTAACCATTATAATGATCATATGTGATCTAACAATGTCGGCATCGTTGTATTACTTGACAGAGAACTATGGCTTTTCTTGGACGTCGTACGTCTGGGCCATCTGTATTATGACCTTGACCTCCGCTCCCAGTGGGTGCTATCGTTAGGGTACAACATGCTCGCCCGTTCCTGAAACATCTGATGCCACCATTGAAATTATATTTAATTTTGCTCCCAGCTTGACTGTTCTTTATTTGACTGAAATATGAATATTGACGTTTTTTTCCATTGGGTACCATTGCTCATTTGAACTAAAAACTGATTTTGACGTTTCAGTTTTCCAGACAAATCAAAATTAACTTCAGACACTTATTTTTATTTTTCAAAACAAACACACACACATATAAATAATCAAATACATCAGTGGTAGCGTATTGCATATCGCAGTCAATAAACAGCTAACGAAAGTCTACTCTTTCCACATAAACACACACAAGGTATAATTACGGATCATAAACGATCGTTATTTGATACATATGAATTTGTACATTAATTCATCACATTTAATAATAAACAACGTTGTATCTACGCCATCAAATATATTTTGAAGGAATTAATATGCTATTTGTGTGATCTTTACAACCATTATTGTTTAATATATATTTACATAATATCATAACGTTCAATAATAAACAAGATTGTATCTAAGCCATCAAATACAATTTGAAGAAGTGTTATCCCCATAACAATCCATTTCATATGAGTAATCCCACAACTATCCCACACATGTTGATATGCTCTAATACATGGTGACACAATACATGGTGACCTGAATCTGATGAAGTAACACATTGTTAGTCCACTAATTTCGTCCTGTCCAATGTCAAGCACAATGCCCTTCTACTCTGACTTCTTCTTGTCTTTCTTCTTCTTCTTTTTCTTCTTCTTCGACTTCTCTACGTTTTCCTCTTGTGGTGCTTTAGAAGTGTCTTCCGGGCTTGATTTGACTGAGCTGTCCGTGGTTCCTTGTTTCACTGCGCCAGCCTGTTCAGCTTTAACGAGACTTCCTGATGATGCCCCAGCAGGCGTAGTAACAGCAGCAGTAGTTACAGCTGTAGGTTCAGCTTTAGGAGCGGCGGTGGTAGCAGCTGTTGGTGCAGGTGTAGGGGGAGCAGTAGTAGTAGCAGCTGTGGGCGCAGGTGTAGGGGTAGCAGCTGTAGATGCAGGTGTAGTGGTAGCAGTAGTAGCAGGTGTAGACGCAGCTGTATTAGGAGCAGGAGTAGTAGCAGCAGCCGAGGGAGCGGTAGGAGGAGCAGTTGCAGCAGTTGTAGTAGTAGCGGAAGCCGATGGTGTACTTGAAGAAGCAGCTATCGGGGTGCTTGAGGCAGTAACTGGTGTCGTAGAAGCAGGTTTCGCTGTTGCTGCAGCTGTGGCAGTGGCAGTTGCAGCTGCGGCTGCTGGGATTGCATCAGGCGGTGGGCGTGATGTGGGTTCACTTGGTTTACTCTCAGGTTTAGGGTTATCCTGGACTTTACTGGGTGACTCCTTTGGCTTTTCTGGTGACTTGTCTGAACTTTTCTCTCCCTTCTTTGCCGCCGTGGATGTTTCGTTGACAGTTGTAACCACTGCTGGTGCTACAATCGTGACATGTTTAACATGGCCATTGGTCGGTGTTTTACCGTTGGCAGTTGAGGTTTTGGAAGGATGTGTGGATTTCTTCCCATCTGAAAAATAAATGTAAACTTTTGATTGTATCTGTACACAAGTTATGTAAATTTCATTTAGAACTTAAAATATGCAAGCGTTACACACGTCTCGCTCCTAAAACTGACAGTAGGGGTGTAACGAAAGCTCAAATTTAAACAACGACGCAGTGAGACTGTCCATGGTCCTATTACGTGAAGCAGATAAATCATGGGGACCGTCGTCGACGATCACGGTTTCGTTATATTTATCAAATTAAATCCTCAAATTACTTATAACCAACGTTGTATGCAATTCTTATTAAGATACATATTGATATCTATTCAAAACAATGGCAGCTGCATACAAAGCTACCTTCTTTAACTCTCTTACACGTTCCCTGAACCTAGACGCATTGGGTTTCACCTGATATGAAAAAAATGATACTGTTCAGAAGGGCGTAAATCCCCATGCTGACACTCACTGACTCATTCACTGACTGACTCACTCACTCACTCACTCACAGGGAGCCACGAAATCAGCGCACCTGAGAGGTGAAGGTGAATATGATAGAGTATTAGTCCAATGCCCCCGATCGAATGCAACTGGAAGGGACATGGGTTGCGCGGTTGTCTAAGGCCTAGTTATTCGCTGTGCAGAGTCTATTGCGCGTGGAAGAACCCTATAACAGTGGGTTCAAATCCCAGATTCACCATGATGAGTGTTTCTAGGTTTGTCAGTATCGTATCCGTGCTCGAGGGTTTCACCAAAGATACAAAACTTATAAATTCTGCATCATTTCGGCTGACACGTCGTGATGGAGTGAGTGAGTCGGGTTTAACGCCGCTTTTAACAGTATTCCAGTTATATTACGGCGTGTCAGATTAATGTGGGAAGAGCCCAAAGTGATGCAGGTCTGAGACGTTTACGCCGTGATGTATCTGAAGTACTATCATAAATGGCGTTAAACCAAATTTACGCACTTATCACTCAAACCAATTGTTTTTTAACTATATGTATATTACACTATCAATACGATATTTATCAAGCAGAGAACATAACGGCCAGCATGCAGTTTAGAATTTGAAATGACATACCGTCTTGAACTGTATTCAATTTCTTGTTGCGCTTCTTCATTAAAAAGACAATGACAATAACAGCAATGGCTATCAGGATGAGGATACCAACAGCGGCTCCACCTGCGATGGCCCCGATGCCATCCTCCTCTTCATCTGAAGTTATCGCTGGCAACAATCGATTGTGAAGAAGACATAAGTAAACAAGCTGACAAGGAATAGAATGACATCATCTTTGAAAGTGATCTTAACAACAAATGTCGTACATATTAAAGTTTATATAATATATAATTCAACAATATTAGTACAAAGCAATAAATGTTAATGTTATGATAACCAACGCAGTTTAGGTTACATGCTGTTTTATGTCCATGCATGCCTGAGTTAACTTAGATGTATTAAGTAGTACTTACGACACAGTTCTGAAATAGATAAGGAAATATTTGTTAATATGGATTCCACGATCGATTTCTGAAACATGTTTATACACAACAGAATGTTTTCTATTTACAATCACAAAGCGTTGTAAAAAAATGCAGATGCATGGATACTTTCACTGTGGATAAATGATATCTGCACGATAATATGTGTTATGTTGTGTTCTAGTATCACCTTATACTCAAGTCACACTCAGGGATAGGTGAGCGTGGGGGGCACATACATGACAATATTCTTTAATCTGTTAATTGTTATCAACATGTAATTAATATTACAATTTATCATCCGCACTCATCTATATGACGACGGTCTGCAAATAATGTCATTGACAACATGAGAAAAGATCCACACAAGCGGGATACGATCGCGATGACAATGTCGTTTGTTGTTTAACACCGGAGTCAGCAATATTCCAGCTATGTCACGGCGGCCTTCGAACCATATAGTGTAATCACAAGAGTAATTCCATCACTATCGAACGAACTGTGAATATGAGAGTCTTGACCAGTCACAAAGATGATTTGTATTATGAGCATTACCCACGTCGTCTATGTACGATGACACGCAAGTCACCAAGACTGATCACCCGATCTACGTCGCCGTCTCCCACGGCAAGCAAAGGTTGCTGGGGATCTTTATTCGGCATCCCCACAGATACATTGTAAATATAAACAATGTACACGACAATTATTGTGTGAACTGGTATGAATACAATGTCTTGATTTGCATAGACATATGCCCGTTCCTTACCCAATCAGAAGCTGGTATTTTAATGTTAAATATTCATTATAAATCAAACTTAAGAAACGTATAACATACCTAAAGGTACCATTGAAAGCAAACCGCCTGGAGAGACACTTGATGCGACTTGATTAGCGAAACAGTCCTGAGGAGTGTACGAGGCTGACACCGTACCCCCGTTGTCTTCAAGTGCCTACATACAGAAAATAGTTATTGCTTCTTCATATGGTGAGTCTTGGTCTGTCGGCAACATATCCAGTTTATGGATTTCACTTAATTGGTAAACGTTAACGACCTGTTTAACTGTGGACTTCCTCCCCCATCAGGCTGCCAAGCCGACATATGATGGAAATACTGTTGAAATGGCATCACAATTAACTCACCAGCTACAACGACCAACTCGCACAACAGATCACACCAGAAGACCTTCAATGAGTTGTCTTTCACACAACGATCACATACATTTCATGAGGTATAACATTTGTGTTAACAATATGGTGTGTTTCATCCCATACACAACACCAGTTGTAATTATCTTGGTCATCTTATCTTTGAAAATATATTTTCTTTAAATTCGGCAAAAATTTACAACATTAGTTTTCAAGTATGGTAAGGGGGTCATGTGGTTGCAAATTCATTTCTTACCCCAGTCTTCATTGAACCCAGCCACAAATTAGTTTTTACAATCGGTTGCAGGAATGAGTGTTGGATAAATAGGCACAATCGAATCTAACTTTAGTTCTTTCAATTTTCAATTACACAAAATTCTTTCTTTTGACCCTCAGTTTATGTCAGATCCCACAAATACAACAATTACTGTGGAAGAATGGGTGTGTCACACGAGGTTCTACATACAAAACACACTGTCCTGATGGTGGTGGAGGAGAAGGTTCCTGTTCCGATCCAGGTCCACAGGTAGGTATTAGCTCCTCGTGTCACAGCGCCCATACACTCCAGGTTTCCGCTAGCTGAAGTAGTACAATGTAGCATGCTTCAGTTTGTGTTATGGGGGGTCCAGGGTTTCACACTATTTCTTTGAGTCCAAATCCGAAATATTACATTGTTAGCTAGCACTGTGCGGATATGTCACTCGTCAAACTGAAAAGCACTATTCTAAATGCTCGTATCATCCAAACATGAAATCCTAAGGGGAACGTTCCGCCTCGGCATGTTGCATGCGGTTACAGAAGGGACATTTAGCTGCCTCACATAATATGGACCAGGGTCTTGGACACGTACGTATACGCTTTCGTTCATGTATCGACGAATATTTAATGTGTAATTCCACATAGGTTAAACTCTGCATGTAGTTTGCACAACATGGTTTGCGTTATTCATATGTCAGACTTGCTTGATATTTCGATTGTCCATGGGTCAGACTTACTTGACACATTGTTTGTCCATCCGTCATACTTTCTTGGCACTTCGTTTGTCCATCTCATACACTTACTTGACATTTTGTTCGCCCATCTGTCAGACTTACCTAACAATTAGTTTGTCCATCTGTTAGACGTACCTAACATTTAGTTTTTCCTTCTATCACACTTATTTGACACATTGTTGACCCATCTGAAACACTTTCTTGACACTTAGTAAAGCCATCTATCAGACTTACCTAACACTTAGTTTGTCCTTCTATTACACTTACTTGACACATTGTTGACCCATCTGTCAGACTTACCTAACAGTTAGTTTGTCCATCTGTCAGATTTACCTAACATTAAGTTTGTCCATCTCTCAGACTTACTTGACACATTGTTGACCAATCTGTCAGACTTACCTAACATTTAGTTTGTCCATCTGTCAGACCTACTTGACATTTAGTTTGTCCATCTGTCACACTTACTCGAGTATGCCACCTGATCCGCACATTGGACGTAGTCAATGGCGATGTTAGTTCTCCCCGGACAGACAGCGAAACTAGAGTTGCCCGTACACTTCGTCCCATCGAAGGTGTAGTTGTAGTTGCCGTGGATGATACTGGGGCACGCCACGGCCATCTCCCCCGCGGTGTCGCCTTTGCCTGTCCAAGGATGTCAGATAAAAACTTTGATAATGGTATGTTGAGTTTAAATATATAATCATGATGCTTGATAATGTAATCAAGTGCAGAGGTATAAGTCATTCCACTGATTGTAGACAGCGAAGCTGACGATAGTTTTCTTTTCTCTGAAATGATGAGTTAAACATGTTTTGGGCTCACGTGTCATATTTTTTTCAGAACTTCCAGCATGCCCAGATATCGTTTTACTTCGCCACCTACACCTGGTGTCATAATTGATTTTCTGTGATCCATTGATATTATTTTGATCACTATTTTGTTTTCACTTCCAGCCTCTTTATGATGTTGTAAATGTGTGCCGAAAAAGGCAATTTTTCTTTGTCAAAGGTAAGATGTTTAGTAAGATACTCATCACCAATTGTGTGATGAATCTTTTAAATGTTTAAATGTTTTAAGTCAAATTATATTCTTTAAAAACGTCGTATTCCTTGTGTGCTGACTAAGCGCCGCACAGTTCATTTTTGTAGATTTAATATCTCTAATTAAAGATAGTTTCAAATAATATTAAATCAAACAATTTAAGATACAATCACCATAGAGGTAGCGTTTCTTTCGCTCCTCAGTTTATATTGGGGAAAAAATATATTTTTCTTCAGAATACCAAATGGTCAGCGACTTCTTCATTATAAACTGCCAGGCACAAGAAAGTATACACTCATATTGCATGGTGGTTAAAATGACAAAATTGAAAAAAAATATTGGTTATTCGATGGTGATGTGTTTGATGCAGGTATCACAGTTGTGTTTTGGATCTTACGTTTGCATTTTTTCGGTTACTCTTTTCAGCCAAGTGACGTTTTAATAATGATTGTAATTTTGGTCAAATTCAATTTTCAAGTGTACACTTTCTTTTGTCCGGCGGTTTACATGACCTGACATCAGCCTTAACATATACAGGGCAATCTCTTGAAGTATATCATCATATGTTTACAGTGTAAGTCAATATGCCTGTATGGGTGAATGTGTTACAGGTCATGATGCCATGATGGGATGTTGTCCTTCAAAGGGAGTAAAGGTGATACTGACACAGCATAACGTCTATACAGAACAAAACCAGTTAACCAGCGATCTTGCTTGTGTCTACCCACCGCTTCTGTACATGATATTCGATCTGATCTCCGACGGTTGAAAGGCACACACGTCAAGTGATGTAAGCGTCGGGTTGATATCCACGAAGCCTTTCACAAGTGTCAGATCAACATCGCTTACCGAGATCTTTGAGCTGACATCTGCAAAGGAAATATCTAATGTCAACGAACAGGTTAATGTGTGGTGCAAATGAGAAGTACATCCAAGGAAAATAACACGTTTGTGAAACATCATCACAATTTCCGCGCTAAAGAACCACAGGTACGAAACTCCACTTGTTATTTAAACAAAGCGACAAAGTCATTTCCATAATCGTAAGAAATCTCTGCTGAAAGCAGAGTCCATAGTACTATTCGCACTGTACCATGAGCATGAATACATTATGGATCACCATGAACTATTGATGATACCAGGTGTTCGCGAAAAGGCGATCCTGTCATTTTCCTTGGAAAACACGAATACATGCAAATGTCAGTCAATATTTTATTTGAAAAATAGTCAAAAGAGGTGATTACATTGTCTGTTTCCCTATGGAAAAGCATATACTTACTTGCTAGGTCTGTCATTAAGAAACTATTGGCGCCGAAGACTTCAATAGCGAGGCATAGATAGACGAACTGGTTATCCACGGTGTAGGCTCTCGGGAGATCCTGGCTAGACAGGGAGCATACATGCATCAGAAATAACCAACATAGTAGATGAACAACGTGTAGTATGTAGTAATTAAGACGACTGCGATACACAGAGGTTTGTTGGGAACTAGCAAACATACCAATAGGTTTCACTAATGTTACATATCAGTTTCTTAATCTCATTAAAACAACAGCATGTATTATATAGATATCACACGTGTCTGTGAGGGCAACATGGAAATGGAAATCACACATGTCTATGAGGTCAACATGGAGATGTGAATCTCACGTGTCTATGAAGGCAATATGGAGATGTAAATCTCACGTGTCTATGAAGGCAACATGGAGATGGAAATCACACATGTCTGTGAGGTCATGATCAACATGGAGATGTAAATCGCACGTATCTATGACGGCAAATTGGGGATGTAAATCACACGTGTCTATGAAGGTAACATGGAAATGTGCAAATCACACGTGTCTGTGAAGGCAACATGGAGATGTACGTAACACGTGTCTATGACGGCAACATGGACATGTACGCCCACGGTTCTGTTGATGGCAACATAGAGATATAAATCACATTTGTCTATGAAGGCAAAATGGAGATATATATCACACGTGTCTATGAAGGAACATGGAGATGTAAATTACACGTGTCTATGAAGGCAACACGGAGATGTAAATCACACGTGTCTATGAAGCCAACAAGGAAATGGAAATCACATGTGTCTATGAAGGCAACATGGAGATGTAAATCACACGTGTCTATGAAAGCAATATGGAGATGTAAATCACACAATTCTATGAAGGCAACATGGAGATGTAAATCACACGTGTCTATGAAAGCAATATGGAGATGTAAATCACACAATTCTATGAAGGCAACATGGAGATGTAAATCACAAGTGTCTATGAAGGCAACAAGGAAATGTAAATCACACGTGTCTATGAAGGCAATATGGAGATGTAAATCGCACGTGTCTATGAAGGCAACATTGAGATGGAAATCACACGTGTCTATGAGGTCATGATCAACATGGAGATGTAAATCACAAGTGTCTATGAAGGCAACAAGGAAATGTAAATCACACGTGTCTATGAAGGAAACATGGAGATGTAAATCACACGTCGTTATGAAGGCCACATTGAGATGCATCATTGAGAAAGTATGTTACTGCTATACAGACATACCAAGGTAAAATTAAGTGGTCATACCAAACTGTAGGGACAAGATAGCTCCCAAAGGTAGAGAGATATGTAGTCTACCCAAGTCACATTGGGGCGACTCAATGAAGTAAATAATAAACTGAAATGCTTGCAATACAGAGACGTTGCATGGGTACCTATGATGCATGTATTAAAACTATGTCTGAATAAGTAGGTGATATTGTCAGTACTTACACAATAACATATGTGGCTCCATTTATCTCCTGGCATCTGAAATCATTGTAAAATTGTGTGCCGCTGTAATAGTTGAACCCTTGAAACGAACTGGACGAAATTGTAAACGACTTGCCATCCCTTTCTCGTATCCAGGTGCCCCAGATGGAACTGGGGAAATTGCACTGGCTATCTGAAAAGTGTGAATAAAACTAATTAACACACGGTATCTTTTGTCAGAGTCGAAAAGGCTCCATCCGATTTTGTTCTTGTGATAAACTGAAATCCTTTAAAAACACAGCATTTGTTTGTTTTTTAGTGTTGCCATGGAATGTTTATTATTGGTTCAGGAAATAAAGTGTTAAGGAGTATTGGACAATGTTCTAAACTTATATCTGTGAGTGTTACGAGTCTCAACATCACAGCTGGAGCCAATGTATCTGGGTTTCTGTGTACCCAATCTAGTAGACAGTGGTCGTATGTGTGTGTGTATGTATGTATGTATGTATGTATGTATGTATGTATGTGTGTGTGTGTGTGTGTGTGTGTGTGTGTGTGTGTGTGTGTGTGTGTGTGTGTGTGTGTGTGTGTGTGTGTGTGTGTGTGTGTGTGTGTGTGTGTGTGTGTGTGTGTGTGTGTGTGTGTGTGTGTGTGTGTGTGCGTGCGCGCGTGCGTGTTTGCGTGTACCTGTGCATGTGCGTGTGTATGTGTCCTCATACGTTCCGAGGATGAAAATGACCACGGTGGTAGTTGCATCTGACAATAAATTATGCAATATATTTAATGAGACAACACAAACACAGTATCTCAAGCGACATGATGGAGTGGCTCGATCCTTTTATTACTGTCTTCGCAATGCTTGTGGTTTGACACAGAGGTCCACCTATAGTACGACCAGGAATATGTAGAGGGCGTCATGGAAAATATAGTTATAAAATCCTTTTGAATAGGCCCGTATACAGCCTCAGACCTATTCAGACCAACAAACCTGATCTTGTCCTGTTTGATAAATGCAATGAAATCATTTATATCATTGAATCTTCTGTTCTTTTGACACTAATGTGATTAACAAGATTCAGGAAAAGCATGGCAAATATGCAGATCTCGCTTTCGAAATGTCACGCTTGCATCCGAAGTAGTTGTCCGACTCCCCATTGTTCTCGGTGCCTTAGGTATGGTACCCCCTTAATCTGTTGACTGACATTGGGGGAGAACCCGGGTTTGTTGACAGGAATACAGCCCTTCTCACAATCTGGGTAATACAGAAGGCTGCAGTGTTGGTGAGTCTTCACATTCTCCGAAAAGTTGTAGATGGTTTCGACTAGGCAGCGCTTCCTGGGAGAAGTCCAATTCGCTGTCTGGGCAGCGTGTAGAGGGGCCAAGGGTCCGGAGCTGATGATGACTCAAACCAGCCTGACTGTGCCAGGATCACCCCAACCCTCTTTGTTGCATTTACGTATTTATATCAGTAAACAATAATAATAATAACAAAAAGACAAAACATTTCCATAATCATAGTAAATCAGAGCGACAAAACCTTTTCCAAAGCTACAAGACATCTTTACTGAAAGCAGAGTCCATTATACGATTCCGAACATATCATGAGCATGTGTTTATACATCACTGTCAAATGAAACTAGATGTTCGCGAACAGTTGAGAGTATCCTGCCCCGACCGTGCCACCGGTCACAAAGAACACATTTTGATTATATTAATGTGAATGTCAGATAAGTACAATATGTATTTAATACTAAAATAAGTAATGAAAATATTTTTAGGACAGACAATGTACTGCAAAGCATTCTATTAAAATGTCATTAAAGATTGTTTATAAAATTTTATGTAGGAATATAAAATCGATCTCCCTCGAGTGAGACAACATGTTGTGTATAACTACTTCCAGTCTGCCGGAATCAGACTACACTTTTCAGAAAAAGGCCGTGAGCATCCTAAAAAAGCATATTAAAAACATTCATTTTATTTTGTGACCTACAATGTCTATCATGAAAATATTATCTTTGTCAGGTCAGTTGGAGAGACAAGCAGATTAATCAACAAGAAAATACAAATATGCCCTGTATATTGCCTTTCACAGCAACGTTTACTGATCCATAACGGCATGAACAGAGGAATAGCTTGTATTAAATAGAAAAAAATAATTAAAAGCTCGAAAACGAACAACGTATCAAGTTAAATACACACCACAGCCTTGAATGGACAAGACCACGATAATTATCCATAGAGCCAGGGGAGGAATATCCATGATTGAAGTCACCAAATCATGAAGAGTTGTACTGCAGTCCGACACAGGTTATCCCAAAGGCTGTATTCCAGTCACTGTGTGCGTCCATGCATATCAACGACGTAGGCCTGGCGACAGTTCCTGACTGTGGCTTTATCGCCTTTGCCACGCTGACTCAATGGAAGGGTAGGGACTTCTTTCACCAATGGCATTTGTCAGTCTGGACAGAAATTCTTATACATGTACTTGAATTATCTATTAGCTTCGTGATTCACGATGTTTAGATTGAAAGATTCGTGTACAATAGTTGGGAAGGTGAAAATATATTTGTTCCTGACAGAGACTATTTGCTTGACGATGTGAATAACATTACTTTTCGTTATTCATCGTACTATCATTGTGGTGACAGTAGTCGTACTTTTTGTCATTACTGTATCAATCATTATTCATGAAAATCGTTGGATGTCGAAATATGTTTTATCCTATTTAATCAAGCTCTCCATGGGTGGACATGAAAGAAGTCATTCTGTCTCAAAGATATTGTCTATATCAACAAAAAGTCTAAAATCAAGTGAATAACATGTTTGGTATATCTGCCAAAACATATTCCATAATCATATTTAGAAGCTAAGCAGTTGAGAAGTGTAGACGCCAGAAGCTAGAACTGATGGTATGTTGCTCGCGTTTTAGGGGAAATTAACGACTGGAAAGTCTAAAATATCCATCTCGCCGTACAGCTTGGTACAGAGGTTGAAACTTTAATCTCTATACACAGATCCAGATTGGACACTGAATCGGGTTTATCGGGTGTTCCTTTGATTTCCAACCCTGGTAGGTAGATGAGGTGAAGATACCCATTTAACTTGGTATTGTTGAACGAAGAGAGGTCATCTAAATATCTGGATGTTTATATGGGTGTATACTTTCTTGTGCCCGGCAGTTTAGAAACGTTGTAGACCAAGATTAAAAGTACTTCTCACCACAACGGACATTTGTCGGTAAGAAGAACTCGAAGCTATGGTGTATCACAGATCAACACTGTAGTCGCGAGGACGTGTGCCGAGGAATGTCTTTACGTATATTGACTAGCTCATAAATCTCCAGGCTTCATTGAAAGAAAGATCTGACATAGTGATTGATTTGTAAACAGTTGCATGGTGATATTTGCATTGCTATGTTGTGTACACCATAATCTCCTAACACAAACATTGATATAATATCGATCTGTTTAGAGAGCATTTCTATGATGTTCCATTCTCTATAATTTGTGTCTGACCTAACATAACATAACAGTAACATAACTGTAAAGTATTTGTTTTAGATTCTTGCTTGTGGAGTGTTATAACGATATATTTTCCGATTTTAGTATGCTGCCTTCATGGTGAGCCTACACATTGTTGTTTCATCTTATTTAATTGTACTTTATATAATATTATTTTAACCCTACCAAAACATTATAATAACAGTCAATAACCTGTCATCAGAATGGTACGCAGCGCATAGTCTTATCATCAAAGTATTTTATTTCTTGTTTTAGTATGACGTGGTGAAATATTGTATTTATCAGAAAATATATGATCGAAATCTCACTCGAATGAAATAACAGTTAATGCGGAACTTATTCACTGTGGTTTACAGGGAAAGACTTAAGAATCAGCAAGAAAATACATAATGAATAGCACATTCGTTTTTTTCGAAAATAACATGTTTATCTCATTTCGTGACCTGACAATGCCATCCTGAAATTTTTAACTTTGTCAGGGCAGTTGAATATACAAACATGTTACTCAACAAGAAAATACAAAGACCCTCTATGTATCATATGTTTACAGCAAGGTTTACTGAGAAACAGTTTACATGATCCATAACGGCATTACCAGCGCAATAACTGCTATTAAAACGAAACAAATTTACATGATTACATTCTATACTCATTGTCGATTTACGTTTTGCTAGCGGTTACACGCGGCATAATCACTAATTAGACATGTAATTAGAAATATTTGCAACTTGTCAGTGCTATTACCGATATAAGAAACATCAGATGGTGACACAACAACGTGCAACATGTACTGAAATGTCAGGTGAATGAATGCGTGAAGGTCGATTATATGCGTGTTTCCACTGATGCCTTTGATTGTGATTGTTTAAAATTTAGCAGATTGGCATGGAGCATGAAGATATATTGCAGAATGTCATATTTCTTAGAGAACCTAACATGGTACATATTTTCAACATATGCCATGAGTCGAGCATGAAATTTCTTTCAGTACATTCATTTCAGTTTTATTTTCCAAGTGAATTGCAACAGAAAAACGTCCAAAAGTTACTATAACTTAATATAGTATCAAGGTTATTTGGTAGCGGGCAGGGGGCGGTCGCGTAGCCTAGTGGTTAAAGCATTCGCTCGTCACACCGAAGACCCGGGTTCGATTCCCGACATGGGTACAATGTGTGAAGCCCAATTGTGGTGTCCCCGCCATGATATTACTGGAATATTGCTAAAAGCGGCGTAAAACCATACTCACTCACTCATGGTAGCGGGCAGTGGCATAGCTCGATTGTTTAAGCGTGCGCTCGTCACGATAAAGGCCTGGGTTCGATTCCCCTAATGGTTACAATGTGTACATAATAGCGACAGAAAATACATTTCCAAAGTCATAAGAAATCTCTATTAAAAAGCATGATAAACTTGTGTTTATAAATCACTATCAATTATAAAAAAATTAAAAGCAAGAGAATAAATAACCAGTCTAGATTATCCAGCGAAGCAGATTCCATTTGGCGTAAAGGACAAAATAGCTGTGAAAGTTAATGAATTGACCACTGCAAATCTGTGATGAAAAGACCATTTCTTGTGTTCCCTTATGGGATGTTGCTGGAACATTGCTGAAAACGGCGTAAAACATACATCATTCACAGCGGATTAGCTTACATTTCTGAACTTGTCATTGACATAATCAATACGACTGCGTATATCCACAAAGGCACCTCAATGATTCCCTGCTGTGTGCGTCTTGTTATAAAAGTAATGAAAATCCACTTTCAAAACAGAGTTGGATATACAGTATTCCTTTCACTAGAACAGGTCTAAGGGCACAGTACAATACAGATTATGCTGCTATCTACATTGGAATCAATGTTTTATGCATGACATTACATCAATAGCTTCACAGGACTATTCTTCAAAACACTATGACACCTTCATACAACTAACACTGTGTGTATAACTTCACTGTGAACAATACCAGTCACAGGGCTGCTTCGGTTCAAACCTTTAGCCTTTAGACCATCACCTGTATAGCGGGCAGTGTCAAGCCATGGATTGGGAAGCCTTTATTAGATCACAGTTATGTACTTCCTGTATAGGTTATTTAGGATCATTTATACCGAGAGGGATCATAGCTCCCTGTATATTGAAATGGTCTTTTCCAGTTGATTTAAGAACAGGTCACTTGAAAAATATGCTATATTCAATTTGAATCATCTGATATGACGAACTTTATATCTTTACAAAATCAAAATGATTTATTTTCATGCTTTTCATATAATCATCCCTTTACTTCGGGTGAACGTTTCTACCAACGGAACACATTAAACTGATTCCAGTTTCTGTTTAATGTCTGTTTGTAATTATATTATCATGGCCTGACGAATACAATTTTCATCATATTATGTTTGTGGACTGACAAATATTCAAACTTCATGACCTTTTGAAGATATGTCCGTGTTTCAAATACAATTCGACCAGCAGATTCAATCAATGAGATAATTCAAGATACAGTACGATTAATTACGTAGGGCTGGTCAAAAGTTTTTTTAACTATGGGCCATAACAAAGTGAACAAGTCAATGTAGTATATTGTTTTAGAAGTTCATTTCAAGTGTGTTTGGTCTTTTGGGGCCGTTTGTACATTAGTGACAGGCACTTGAACGTGATAGGGTTCCAAATGGACACAGAAATGGAAAAGAACGAGAACCGAGAAGTCATCAAGATTTTTACTTTGGAGAAAAATACTCCCCAAGAAATTCATAATCGCATGTCACAAGTGTATGGGACCCTAGCTATTCCACTGTTAAACGTTGGGCAGCTATGTTTAAGGCTAGGAGAACAAGCCTCTGTGTTGACCCTAGGTCTGGACGTCCCTCAGCTTCCATCAATAAAGATTCAATTAAGGAGATAGAAAAACTTATACTGTCAGGTAGAATTATCATTGCTGAACTTGAGGAAGACACAAATCTAAGCCATGGATCCTTTGAAACTATTATTCATGAACATTTACAGATGAAGAAGATATTTCTGGGTGCCAAAGTTTCTAAATTCAGATCTTAAGGAAAAAAGAACTGATACTGCCAGAGAACATTTATGAAAATTTCGTCAATTCAAAAAGAGATTTGTCACGGGTAATGAAACATGGATCTACCACTATGACCTAGAGTCAAAACGTCAATCCATCGAATGGCGTCATTCTACTTCTCCGGCACCAAAGAAATCCAAGTCTTCAAGTTCAGTGAAGAATCTTATGGCCACTGTATTCTGGAATGCAAAGGGTGTGATCCTTGTTGATTACTTAGAAAGTCAAAAGACGATCACCGGTGCCTACTATAATGATTTGCTTGATCGCCTAAGAGATTCTATCTAGGAAAAGCGGGCGAGGACTGTTGGAGTTCTACTACATGTACTTCATTAAAATGCCTCTTCTCGTACCTCTCGACTTGCAAAGGCTGCTGTGCGACAATGTGGGTTCGAAAAGCTTCTCCATTCTCCATACTCGCCAGACCTGGCACCAGGTGATTTCCACCTGTTTCCTTAACTGAAAGAACACCTTCGTGGAAAGCTCTATGACGACAACGATGACGTCAAAGCTGCCGAATTGGTTTTTCAGGGTGGCTGCAGAAAACTTCTTCGTGACTGGAATTTAAAAACTTCACTATTGATACGATTAGTGTATTAAAAAGCAGGGAGAATATGTTACAAAACAAAATTAAAAACACTCTCACGACTTTTGTTTTTGTTTGTTAGGTTAAGAACTTTTTGACCGGCACTCGTATAACCCCAGTGGCCATGCTAAGGCCACATCGCCATGTTATTGCCACCTGCGTTTATTGACAACCTTGGTAAGCGTTTTATCTGAAAACGTGATGCCTCCTACACGAACCAACGTTAACGTTTCCCTGCCCTTAATCTTCTACCCGCGTCATATCACGCGTACAATTGTGAGCCGATCACGACCTCGTATGTTGATGTGTAGCCTTGAAGGTCTGTTGAAGGAAAACA